TACAGCTGTGCAGACTGTCAAGCAGACCACAGCTGACTGTAACAGGCTATTACCTTTCACCAGCTGTCTCACAACACAATATCAATTTAAAGGCATTCTATTTAAAAGTAATCATAAACGTATCTTCTAGCAGCTTGGTAAAATGGAATCAATACTTAAACTCATCATAGAGCTAGATGGGTTGTTGGGTGGGTGGTTTTTTCCACCACTAAAGCACTTTGACCAGCATTACATTGTATTATACACTTGAGTATCACTTGGTCAGTCCAGTGAACATTTAAATGTGGAAAGACAGCCCAGAGTAATGCAGGCATTCGATATTCCGGTGAAAACATCAAGCACTAATATGGTTCGATAAACCAACCGTCACATCATCACCATGTGGCTGAACAGGAGGGAATTACAACTGGCATTGTTCCAGGGTGTACCCCTTTACTAGGGACCAGGTACACATATGGATGGTTGCCGGACTATATATAATCAGGGTAACTTGACAGACAATCAGTCTGATGACTGTTCTAGTCCTCACAGACCAACAGTCACAATCTGGGATTCACATCCAAGTTGTGTCACAACTGCCTGTCATCAGTCACACATGGGTGTTGAAACCTAATGACTACAAGGGTGTACATTAGACCCTTGACAGTTTCCACAAAATACTTTCATGTTTACTGGCTATATCTGAACACAATCAGGCAGCATATTTCTCAGGCATCAAAATAACCAGGTATTCACTTTTGATGAAAGAGACAAAAGTTGCTAACACACTTCAGATATGGTTAACACTGTACAGAGCTACAGATAACTGTTTTGGGTCATTGAGTTATGTACTCACTTGTGGTCATCTCAATTGGGTATCATAATTTTCCTTTGAGTAACCAAATAAATTGTACCCACCTCACTCAAACTCATTTTCCATTAATTGTTAAAATATAATAAAGTTTAAATGTTAGTATTTGTCATTTATATTTGATCTGTAATATGAGAAACGATAAGAAAGACTGCAAGTTGCCAAGTTTATGTCCTGAAACAGAACCTCTCAATATACCTCAGTTATTTTATCTATCCACTGGTAACGCGAAGCTAAGATTTGACACTTTTGTGTGTACGCATGTAACATCACATCTATTGAGTACTTACAAAAATTCAAGCGTACTTGTACGCAATAGACTTAATAGGAATTGAGTTTTCACATAAATATTTGCGTAATTTATGCAGATACGCAGCTTATCTGTACCTCTGACTATAATAACAGTCATTCATGTAGATATGGCTGACAGTAGGAGATGATGCACCTTACTTTGCCACTGTTAATTGGAGGGAGTGAAGTTTGAGAGGGGAGAGACATCCTCAAAGATGATCCAAGATCAACAAGACCTTCAACTGTCAAAGAGTTCAACAAAATACATTAGATGATTTTTGGTTTACTGAGATGGCAGTGGAATCCTACCAGTGCACTGCCTCCCAAAGTGTCAAGACTATTAAAATGGCCAATGTCATGCTAATCTGCTTAAGCAACATTGTGGTTGAAACATTGTTAAAAATAACTAACAAGTCTGTTGTTGCCATGACTGCAATGCAATGAATGTCTATTGAACATCCCCTGTATTCATCAGATTTGGCACTGTCAGATTTCCACCTTTTCACAAACTTCAAGAAAGAGATGTCAGACAAGCACCATGCAAATGTGGAATACTTCATTTCTGCCATGTATGACATTTAACACCACTAGGACGAAGCCTTTTACACAAGTGATATCTGGTCATCTGCAGTCCAATCAGAGATAATGCAGAACTGGGGATAACTGTGCACCCGAGTCCCAGGAAGAGAAATAGGTACTGGGACCAATTGTGCAACAGATTTTAGCAGAGGACAGCATGTACCGGTATATGGTACGGGGAACCAATTCTGTACCTGTATTGGAGACACACACAGGGTACAGGGAACCAATTCTGTATCTGTATTGGAGACACACACAGGGTACAGGGAACCAATTCTGTGCCTGTATCAGAGACACACAGGGTACAGGGAACCAATTCTGTACCTGTATTGGAGACACACACAGGGTACAGGGAACCAATTCTGTACCTGTATTGGAGACACACACAGGGTACAGGGAACCAATTCTGTGCCTGTATTGGAGACACACAGGGTACAGGGAACCAATTCTGTGCCTGTATCGGAGACACAGAGGGTACAGGGAACCATTCTGTGCCTGTATTGGAGACACAGAGGGTACAGGGAACCAATTCTGTACCTGTATCTGGAGACACAGAGGGTACAGGGAACCAATTCTGTGCCTGTATCGGAGACACAGAGGGTACAGGGAACCAATTCTGTGCCTGTATCAGAGACACAGAGGGTACAGGGAACCAATTCTGTACCTGTATTGGAGAGGGTACACTGTATCTGGAGACACAGGGTACAGGGAACCAATTCTGTACCTGTACAGGGAGACACACACAGGGTACAGGGAACCAATTCTGTGAGACACCTGTATGTGGAGACACACAGGGTACAGGGAAGGGAATTCTGTGCCTGTATCTGTGCCTGTATTGGAGACACACAGAGGGTACAGGAACCAATTCTGTGCCTGTATTGGAGACACAGAGGGTACAGGGAACCAATTCTGTGCCTGTATCAATTCTGAGACACACACAGGGTACAGGGAACCAATTCTGTACCTGTATTGGAGACACACACAGGGTACAGGGAACCAATTCTGTGCCTGTATCGAGACACACAGAGACACAGAGGGTACAGGGAACCAATTCTGTACCTGTGGAGACACACAGAGGGTACAGGGAACCAATTCTGTGCCTGTATTGGAGACACACAGGGTACAGGGAACCAATTCTGTGCCTGTATTGGAGACACAGAGATTCTGTGCCTGTGGAGACACACAGGGTACAGGGAACCAATTGGAGACACAGAGGGTACAGGGGAACCAATTCTGTACCTTGGAGACACACACACACAGGGTACAGGGAACCAATTCTGTACCTGTATTGGAGATAGACAGGGTACAGGGAACCAATTCTGTATCTGTATCCGAGACACACACAGGGTACAAGAAACCAATTCTGTACCTGTATCACCCACAGGGAGACACACACAGGGTATGGGGAATCAATTCTGTCTGTATCACTCACAGGGAGCATACAAAGGCTATGGGGAACAAGAAACTTGGTTTACCTACAGGGCGGCAAACATAGTGTACAAAGAATTTCAATTCTGCATCGGAATCCCTGTGGTGCTGTATGGTTCAAACATCATTGTTTAATCACTTTCACAGCCATCCGGTCTGGAAGTCTTCCGCATCCTGTATCATGTTGAATTTTTCATTAGTTCATTAGGAGCTCCCAGTTACTGACACCGTTGTTTACAGTGACCCAGTCCCGAAAGTTGGTCCACTCAATATGTCCTTGATCAATTGACCCACCTTAGAAAGTATTGCTGGTAGATTAACTTTGGAGGTCGGGTCAAAAGACAAATGGTTAACATGTTTCTTAGTCGTAGTCAAGCTCATGACCTGACTTTGATTCTTCCGATAGTTACAGCAGTCTGGAAATAATTGAGTCTGAACCAGACAATCCTGTGATCAACAGCATGAGCATCAATCTAAGCAATTGGGATACGATGATGTGTGTCAACCAAGTCAGCGAGCCTGACCACTTGATCCCATTAGTCGCCTCTTGCGACAAGCATGGGTTTCTGAAGACCAATTCTACATTTCTAACCCAGATCTTCATGGGTCCCTCAGTGAGAACGTTACCCAGAGGAAGAGTGCTATAACCATTAGTTTCAATTGACAGAACAAGAACAAAATATTAATTAAACATGAACTGTTTAACATTTGCTTTTACATAAAGTTATTGGAAAACATTTAATGATAATCCTTCTTGAAGTACAGGAAGTGTGAGGTATTTAGAGTAACTTTGGGTGTACATGTATTGATTTTTGTGACATCCGTCAGTCTGTCACCTCAACTGACAAGCAAACTGGCCACAGATGATATGGGTCAAACAGCTCTGTTAATGAGGGCTTAGCAATTTGCACATCAGGAAAAGCACTTCAAAATTAGCTGCAAATCAATTTCTGTGCTACCAGTGACACAAATTCAAGAGCATTCATTTATTGACAATGTCATTATATACCCTACTGCAAGATAAGTTTTACATATAATTGATTTGGTTCTTGAAACAAATTAGTTATTCATACTCCAATATGGGGTTGGGCCCTGAAGAAACATTTTCAGAAAAAATATCCCTCATGCCAGCACATACAGAGAATGAATATACATGGACACTGAATAAAATATATTTACTCATTATATTTCAACCCCATTAAATAAGTGAGTTGGCCAAAAATGTCTTAGAAACCTTTATTAAGGATATTACAAAACATATCACATGAAATGTATTCTTACCAATATTATCATACACATGACAAAAACATACATTGAATGGTGTTAGCATTCATTAACATTTATCCTCACACACTTTGTTTTTAACCATCTGTGGAAGATGTTTTACGTAATGTTTTGAGGACATTTTTATGTATTATAGCCTAAGGTGGCATTATCAAACTCACTCAAGGTGGCATTATCAAACTCACTCCAAATGCAGACTGAGCTGACTGATCTCAGAAAGAAGCGTACAAAACAGGATAAATGCGTGGTGATACACTGCACTCACTTTCAGTTTACAAGCGAAATTCAGAAAACAACGACACAGTACAGACGAGCTGAACGTAGTAGAGATTAGAGATCGAAACACGGAAATAAACCGGCTGTAATCGACATGCAGCGAAGAAATCTTCTTTACTGAAGCAGTAGCAAACAGTAGAATGCAATGTATGTTTTGTTTACCCTTTTGAGACAGCCATGTGTATCAACAGGGGTATTAAAGTGGATAACTTAAAAATACATCATACGTCACTTGATGCTATTTTCAAAACAATTATAATGTTATGTCAACGACAACACTTGTCAAACTCACCGCCCCTTTCCCGCAAGCCGAAGGATTTGGTGCGAGATCGATGACTCGTGTCAAAGTTTACATAAATCGGAGTTATCGCCCATGGATAATAGAACTTGTTGTCAGACGGACAGGGACTATTTATAACCGTTATTCGAATGAGTGACTCGGCAACCCGTGCCTTTTCTCAATTTTTTGTAAGCATTCCATGTTTCCCACAGCCCTTAATTGCAGATAGGTATACAAACTTCACTATAAAAAGTCTTTTGCGTTCTATTGAATTTATAATAACAGGCTGGTTTAAATTTGAAGACAAGTGTACTTTGAGTTTACCCAAACACAAGTTAATTCCCTGATACTCTTGTGTGTTAATTAAGCCATTCCCCTATAAGCAAGTTGCTAAATATATGCATCTATCCAAATGACAATAAATAACCCCAAAACAAAAGATCCTAGTCATCCATTCTTTTAATACAATATGTATTTTATGTTGAGGTAGGTTATCAAAAATATAAATTTGCTAATTTGTCTGACTGAAATGGAAATATATGTGTTCGTGTTCAAAGACTGATCAATTTCCATAAATCCTTAACACAGATCACACAGGTCGTAATATTGATATTCACTTATCTACGAGAGACCATATACCGGTGTATATGCAGTTCATGATTAGTTATTATTTCATAACAATGATTCTGGAAAAAACCTCCTTGACATGCCCCCTACAATAATGAATACCACGACCTCATTAACACGTGGTGTTGTGGCGCTTCCTCGCCGGTGCCCTTGTGGAATAAACTGCTAAATACACACCAGATACATATTGCCCCGTGGCGTTTGTTTATTCACATAACGTTATCAACAATTCATGATAGTACAGTACATGCCATAACCCATAGTCCGAGTGGGCGGGCCGCTACGACTGGAGACAAGACAAGCCGAGGGCAGATTGCTCAGCAATGCCTGCATGCTCACCCAGTCTGTCTGCGATTCCCTGCTATGTCTTGGTATAGGATAGCGCGCATGACCTTGCATTATTGAATAAAAACAGTTCTTTCTGTGGCAAGCTGAATCGAGGATCAGCGTTAAACCCGTGGTGATGGTGTGACCCGAGAGATCGAACAAGGGTCTTCATTCTCGCATTCATCCATTCATCTGTTCATTCTATATATCATTCATTCAGTCTCCCAACCATAGAAATATAGTTTAGTCGATATTTGTTGGCTTACAAAACTGCCACTTCCCAAGACGACATAAACCTTTGTAAGTATAACAAAAGTCATTGTAAGTGTAACACGAGAGTGTAAGTTTATTGTATATATTAATGTTTAGCCTGCAACAAATGCTGCTCAATGAACATGCGTGCATTCAACCGATTGGCTAATGTAATGACGTTGGAATCTCCCTTGTCGTGCTGGTAGCTTACCTTAAAACACCGATAAATTGTAAATTGCCAGTTCAGATGGAAACGACACGTGTGTGAGTGAGTATGGTTTTACGCCGCTTTTAGCAATATTCTAGCAATATCACGGCGAGGAACACCAGAAATATATTTCACACATTATACCCATGTGGGGAATCGAACCCGGGTCTTCAGCGTGACGAGTAGACGCTTTAACCATTAGGCTGCCCCACCTCCCCGACACGTGTTTTAAAGTTGAGCAAGGTTAGAGGACTGGTCATTGGTGAAAACAGACAGTGCTTCACGTGTATTTGTAGGATAACAGTACTTGTGGTACATTAGGCCTCACGTGTATCTGTAGGATAGCAGTACTTGTAGAGTGCATTACGCCTCACGTGTATTTGTAGGATAACAGTACCTGTGGTGCATTAGGCCTCACGTGTATTTGTAGGATAACAGTACTTGTGGTGCAGTAGGCCTCACGTGTATCTGTAGGATAACAGTACTTGTAGAGCGCATTACGCCTCACGTGTATTTCTAGGATAACAGTACGTGTGGTGCATTAGGCCTCACGTGTATCTGTAGGATAACAGTACTTGTAGTGCACTAGGCCTCACGTGTATCTGTAGGATAACAGTACTTGTGGTGCATTACACCTCACGTGTATCTGTAGGATAACAGTACTTGTGGTGCATTAGGCCTCACGTGTATCTGTAGGATAACAGTACTTGTAGAGTGCATTACACCTCACGTGTATTTCTAGGATAACAGTACGTGTGGTGCATTAGGCCTCACGTGTATCTGTAGGATAACAGTACTTGTAGTGCATAACACCCTCACGTGTATCTCTTGTAGTGCACTAGGCCTCACGTGTATCTGTAGGATAACAGATAACAGTCACTTGTAGAGTGCATTAGGCCTCACGTGATATACTTGTAGAGGATAACAGTACTTGTGGTGCATTAGGCCTCACGTGTATCTGTAGGATAACAGTACTTGTAGAGTGCATTACGCCTCACGTGTATCTGTAGGATAACAGTACTTGTAGAGTGCATTACGCCTCACGTGTATCTGTAGGATAACAGTACTTGTGGTGCATTAGGCCTCACGTGTATCTGTAGGATAACAGTACTTGTGGTGCATTACACCTCACGTGTATCTGTAGGATAACAGTACTTGTGGTGCATTAGGCCTCACGTGTATCTGTAGGATAACAGTACTTGTGGTGCATTAGGCAGCCATATGAAATCTTGGATTGTTGGGTATACATTGCAGAGGATTGTCAGAAAAGTGACGTGAATGGGCGTGGTGGTTAGGAATAGCGCACTATAATCTCTTTCAGCCCTCACTTTCAGCCTGACCTCTTTTGGCCCTCACTTTCAGCCTGACCTCTTTCAGTCCTCACTTTCAGCCCTCGTGCACGTCTCATGCAGTGTGCCCTCCGCAGCAAATGTTCCTGATACTTTGCAACAAGTTGTTATTGTTTCTGCTGGACGTCAACCGTATGCCATCTATAACGACCACCTCCGTGGTGTAGTGGTTAGAGCCTCCGCCCGGAGAGCGGAAGGTCGCGGGTTCGAACCCCGACCGCGTCATACCAAAAGACGTAAAAATATGGTACTTGTTGGTCCCTGCCTGGCGCTCGGCATTACTGGGTACAACAAAGACTGGTTGGCTCGGAGTCAGTATAATGTGTTTAAGTGGGGTATTCATGCTTCACTGCGGCATGGTATCTCAGTGGGCTAGCACTATAAAACCAGCTTAAGTCTGGGCTAGTACAAGCAGCTGCACATACACATACACACGCATGCACGTCGTCATATGAGCGAAATATCCTCAAGCACGACGTTAAACCCAATTTCACCTCACCTCACCTCGCCATCTATACCTCGCTGACACATCGATCATCCAGTGACAATACTCACTACGCAATACAGAACATTATCCTCCAATGAAGATCGTGACAGACATCATCAAATTCGTTGAAACGACAAGCAGTCAGTCCGTGATAACAGTTTTCAATTCTATCACCCTACAATTATATCTCAATATCATACACACAAATACAACAAAACTCCTTATTTGGTAATGTGTTTGAGATGATATTGGAGTACTCAGTCTTTGCCACTTGAGATTCTTTTCAATCTGTCATTACTGTTCAACGGGAAATGGTTTCCTCGATAGATGTAGACACTCTATTTAACGAATCTGCTTTCATAAAACTCCTTCAAGTCAGATATTTTATTTTCACAGCTTGCTTTTTATGTAATGTAATAAAACGAACCAAGGGAGCCAATAGAGACGGGACCTCGTACGTGATATTCTTCAAAATAGAAACGAACTTTTAACTTGTATATAAATATTTAGAATGAAATTATCCACATGAAGGCATGCCTTAACGTTTTGCTTATGTGTGTAATCCAGCGATTGATATGATGAACACAACCAGGCCATACCATTCGGCGGTCAGATTAATTTCAATGTGTGTCATCGCCTCCCCGATGCAGTCTGCCGTGGGGTTATTGAAATATGTTTATAACTGCAGATATTCAAAACAAAGGTTTTCTTTTAAAGGCAATGTGACAAGTATTTAGTCCTATTGCTGATTGTAATGGGCGGCTGAGTTAGTTCGTGTGTCAAGTCTCGTGAGCTAGCGGACAGTGGAGTCATGGTCATGGTCCTTGGTTAATTATCTGTCATTGATATTTTGGTACCCATAGTCGAGTCGATCATTTGCAGATTGTCATGGTATACTTGGAATACAGAAAATACGGTGTATATTATATAACATTCAATCAACTACACAGATATAGCATCAATAAATCGCGGGTGTGTGTGGACACTTTGTACATCTTAGTAAAAACTCCCAAAGTGTAACCTAACAAACGACTCTTTCGTGATGTGGATTTGTACGAAATCTTCATTGTGTGTGCAAAGCGCATGCTCTGTACTTGCAAGTCTGACAACATTGGTTTGGGAACACTACAGTTTCCAAGCTTCCCATGATACCATTCACAGCTCCCGTAGACCTGTCTCCCTCAGTTTGCTAGTTGGCTAGGGATTGTCACTGGTCTGTAGGGTTTACAGACACGATGGGAGGATTGTACGTACGTTTCAAGCAGTTTGCCAATGTTTTCGTATCGTGACAGACACAATGATGGAGGATGTAGACATAACAGGTTAGCCTCTGTCGTGTCAGCTGAACGGGTCTGTTGTCATCATCCCTCATCCCATAACTGTTTATACTGATACTCTCTTAATCTAGCAATAACCTGTTTCTTTTTATTTATTACCTACGAGGGCGAACATATCAGGGTTCATATTTTTCATACGATGCCCTAGGGCAAAATATCACTTTGTCACGCAACGTCACAGAAGAAACGTGACGTCATAGCATTGTTCATGACGTCACGTTTCTTCTGTGACGTTGCGTTCTACATGCGGCGACGGCGGGTAAGCCAGCCTATGTTTGAAAGTAGATTTGGGTTATTTTCCTCAATTTGACGACTTCGGTAATAAACAGAACATTATATTCGTGCCCATATTATACTATGTTTACGACACTCGTGCCTAAATATCGGTACATGTATATCCCTCGCTCTCGCTCTGGAAATACCAACATGTAGGCACTCGTGTCGTTAACATAGTATGACATGGGCACTCATATTATATCCTCTATATATGTTTACTTGTCACACAAGTAGTGCAGGTGCTTACACTGCTGGCCGATACCGACACATATGAAACCCGACACCTGTAGAACGCCAGACAAACGCATTTTTAAAATTGCTTTACCTAAATAAGTAAAGATGGTTCTATGGTACCTAAAGTTGTCTTATATCACGGTGGCGACCCAACTGACAAAAACCCTTACTATAAATTACATTTATAAACACTTATTTATAAAACGTATAGCTTCTGCGCAGTTACGGTTTCCCGACCAGTGGTTCCGTATGCATATCGGTTATTCTCGACTCCCTGGGGAGTATACAACCCAAGTTGTCCACCGGAGTTTTGACATTCACCTCCCATATCGGGTACCCAGTCTCAGTATGGTGAACGGAGACACATCTTCACTAAGTCGCTTGCCCAGGGTGACATAAGTTTTTGAGGCTCGTGTTTCGGCTGTATGAACGTATTCGTGTTTCCACCATCCAGTCGCTTTCCCTGGGATGAGCGAATTCTTTGCGTGCATAGGATAAGCGTACTGTACACATTGTTGGTCCACAGGCTCAATAACAACCCGGTCGCTACGTTGATTGTAGCTCGGCAACGGTCGCTTGCTAGCTGGCACTTAAGACCGTTTTACCACTCGCTCTCAAATTCTCGGGAGAACCAAGGACAACAATGAGACAACCTTTCCAGAACATTTAATAAACAATAAACCAACAAATACACAGTTAGCGGAGTCTAGGCTCGGCACCACAAACCCGAAACTATCAGAGTCGGCATCACAAACCCGAAACAATCAGACATACTTGAGGTGAGAGATCCGGCTCAGGCATATTGCAGATGATCAGAGATCGGGCTCAGGCACACTTGAGGTGAGCAGAGATCGGGCTCAGTCACACTTGAGGTGAGCAGAGATCCCGCTCAGTCACACTTGAGGTGAGCAGAGATCCCGCTCAGTCACACTTGAGGTGAGCAGAGATCCCGCTCAGTCACACTTGAGGTGAGCAGAGATCCCGCTCAGTCACACTTGAGGTGAGCAGAGATCCGGCTCAGGCAGACTTGAGGTGAGCAGAGAGTGGGCTCAGGCACACTTGAGGTGAGCAGAGATCGGGCTCAGGCAGACTTGAGGTGAGCAGAGATTGGGCTCAGGCATACTTGAGGTGAGCAGAGATTGGGCTCAGGCACACTTGAGGTGAGCAGAGATTGGGCTCAGTCACACTTGAGGTGAGCAGAGATCCAGCTCAGTCACACTTGAGGTGAGCAGAGATCCCGCTCAGTCACACTTGAGGTGAGCAGAGATCGGGCTCAGGCACACTTGAGGTGAGCAGAGATTGGGCTCAGGCACACTTGAGGTGAGCAGAGATCGGGCTCAGGCAGACTTGAGGTGAGCAGAGATTGGGCTCAGGCACACTTGAGGTGAGCAGAGATCCAGCTCAGGCAGACTTGAGGTGAGCAGAGATCCAGCTCAGTCACACTTGAGGTGAGCAGAGATCCCGCTCAGTCACACTTGAGGTGAGCAGAGATCCCGCTCAGGCACACTTGAGGTGAGCAGAGATTGGGCTCAGGCAGACTTGAGGTGAGCAGAGATCGGGCTCAGGCAGACTTGAGGTGAGCAGAGATTGGGCTCAGGCATACTTGAGGTGAGCAGAGATCGGGATCATGCACACTTGAGGTGAGCAGAGATTGGGCTCAGGCACACTTGAGGTGAGCAGAGATTGGGCTCAGGCACACTTGAGGTGAGCAGAGATCAGGCTCAGTCACACTTGAGGTGAGCAAATATTGGGCTCAGGCACACTTGAGGTGAGCAGAGATCGGGCTCAGGCACACTTGAGGTGAGCAGAGATCGGGCTCATGCACACTTGAGGTGAGCAGAGATTGGGCTCAGGCACACTTGAGGTGAGCAGAGATCGGGCTCAGGCACACTTGAGGTGAGCAGAGATCGGGCTCAGTCACACTTGAGGTGAGCAAATATTGGGCTCAGGCACACTTGAGGTGAGCAGAGATCGGGCTCAGGCACACTTGAGGTGAGCAGAGATCGGGCTCATGGACACTTGAGGTGAGCAGAGATCCGGCTCAGGCACACTTGAGGTGAGCAGAGATCCGGCTCAGGCACACTTGAGGTGAGGAGAGATTGGGCTCAGGCACACTTGAGGTGAGCCGAGATCCGGCTCAGGCACACTTGAGGTGAGCAGAGTTTGGGCTCAGGCACAGTTGAGGTGCTCAGGCATACTTGAGCTAACCCTCAATTTAAACTGCCTAATTACAGTAGACCGTCGACCTGTTCCAACCGTTCAGTTCATTAGTAAACAGTCATCATCTGTCCTTTCATTAAAATAAAATTGGTGTCTCTCAAATGCATACATTGTCTATAGTTCACATATTGAACGTAATTTAACAAGTGTGCAAAGGTTATATCCTATTGCTCGACTGGAATAAAACCAATTCTGTGTTATAGATTCACGTGTGGTGTATGAAGCTGATGGTTTTCCAGGTTAGAACAAGTGGGTAGCAGCCTATGTTGTTCGTAAGAGGTGACCAAATGAAATATCGTTGATGTTTAGATTATCAACGCTCTTCACTCTTGCATGACGAATGTAAGAAAAAAATAACCAAAATATTTCATGTTTTCCCAATAGTTTACGTGGAATTGCCAGCTGGGTAGTTTGGCCTTTCCCTTTAATGATAATAATAGCGCATATTTGTAAAGCGCCAGTGTCCACCCACTCATGCATGCTGGTGCATTTGGCCATCCACATCCCAGTGATATTGCTGAAATATTGTTGACATATTACTATACTCATTCAAGCATCAGACACAGACACGTAATACAATATACTTTACACATGCTCCCAATACAGAACCATGACATAACGGTAGTAGATAAGCACCCCTGATACCCCAGCACAAGAGTAATCCCTGTCAGCCGCAGTACCTTCTGCAGCCCGAGGAATGCAACCGAGTCCACGCTGACCGCAGCTATTGACTCTTCCGAACGAAACGTACTTTGATTACATGCATTAATCCAATAGTCTGGGTTCCTTTCAATACTTATCCTTTAATACAAAATCAAGGATGTTCACTGAATCTGTGGACGGTTTATGTCTCAGATGCAAATAATGCTCGCAGACCTGAAACCTGAAACACAGGTCATCTTGCCGTGCGTAACACATTATTCTCCCGACTACTTGAAATTGACTTATAATCATGTCACACAAAAGGTGAAAAGGAACTTACTGCATCTGAATACTTCAACAAACGTTCGCTCCAATTACATCTGTTCCCATCTTCCCAGTTCCTAGTCTGTCGCCATCCCTAGTTTGAGTGAGTGAGTGACTTGGAGTTAACATTGCTTCGAACAGCATTTTAGTTACACCGCATCGTGACAGAAGAAAAGCCCAAATTGATGGAAGATTGTAGTAACATAAAGTGAATTCCACGAACGTATTCCAAGGGGCGCAACTCTGCAACGGAAGTGCCCGGCACCTACATACACATGTGACCTTCTCATGATATTTCGGGACAATCCTCGTGTAGGTTACGGAAAGAGTGTAGACGAATGATCCAAACGAAACACCATACAAACACTCCGATTGCACTAGGTCCACAAAGTGTTCCTCGGAAAACGTATGCCAAAACTACGTTAATAAACTGATTGGTTAAGTTGTTTGAACTATTCCAGACAATTGTGCTGCGGTCAGTTTCACAGAACATATTACCACAAATCCATATTTTCCATACTTCCATGAAGCAAACAATCACATACATTTGCGTAGATACATAGTTTTGAAGAACGTTTGTTTTCCATTTTGACCGTAACCTTTCCATTATGAACCGACCAAATCAACCTCTTCATAAAGAGGACACTGGGCAGTCTCCACTATGTCCTCCACCTTGTAAGCTGGGACAAGAGCATTTCTCGTTTCACCGTGGTTCCTCACCACCACGTCGCCGGTCCAGGTGTTGCCGGCGATATACACATCAGAACCCTTCACTACATTTAATTCCTCTTTACTCAACGCTTCGTGGTCTTCCACTGCGGTCATTCTGTGCGGACCTTGACCTCCATAATAATAAACATCATCAAGTGATCGAAAATTGGACGAAGCATCGACATGTTTAGTCTGCATTAATTCATACGCTGTGCGACATACCTGAAACATGAACACGACTTGAGATTACTAATAATGATTCACATGATATTGAATATTATCTGTATCCATTGAATGCTGGAAATATTTTGTTGTTCTGTGCATGAGAAGGGCTACACCTCTTATAGACATATTCCAGCATTATCACATTGGGAACACCATCAATGGGCTTAACTCAGTGTAGTGATGTTGAGAATCGAACCAGAGATGGTGTTGCTAGGGAAAGCTTAAACCACTCGGCCCCGAACTTTAGCAGAGGGGCGCCAAACATAACACGCTGATCTGGTTTCATAATGTACAGGATATAGTATGGTTTAATTTTATTATTTAATTAATTTATTGAATATATTAATATATTAAGGAATATTTATAAACACATTTTGATACTGTCAGTATCACTCGACCAATAAATCGGATTATGATAATGATTTGTCATACATAGAGAAATGCCGGTTATAAACGTACAGGCATTTTCCCACCAATGGTTATGTGTAAATAATTGTATCAGTATATTTTCAGAACAACCTTTATTTCATTGATATACTGACATTTGATTTTTGACGGATGACGGATGAAAAATATGACCGTGACCTTGAACTTTACGGTAAATTTCTAATTAATACCTGTCCGTGTGACCATGCGACATTTCAGGCAAGATTCTGGGTTCCTATTCCAAGAAGATTTACATGCCACATGTCATATCGCTTGTATAATGCCATTCAGTGTATGAAATAAGGCCCGTCCGACCGCCCGAGTCGGTCTAGATTACTGACGGACGGTCTAAATTTACAGCTAGCCAGCCCGATGGTCTGGTAAAAAATTAAGATGTTCCACTCAGTAAAGTCACCATATTTTGATTGGTTAAATCCATTTTGGGCTGGTAACATTTTGAAGTTACCAGCCCTAATGTCCGGCTGGAGTTTTGGCTTATTTCATACACTGGTATATTAATGCGGAGGGTGGTATTAAACAAGAAACGAAAAGGCAAGCAACAAAACGAGCATCACCTACCTGTGAGGAGAATGTACACACAAGAAAGTCCGTTTTGGAAAGGAAATGTATGTCATATACGATTCCCATCATTACTGCCGAGGACCCAGTGACGCGTTCAGCTGTCCTGATGATGTCTATATTGTAGATGAAAGTGTAGTCCTTGTACCTGGAACACATGGAAATCCGTACGTAATGAATGTATGACGGTGCACGAAAACAGGCCAGGAAATCTGGACAACCCAAATACTTGTTCTTGTACACTGGCTTTTAGAAAGATACATACACGATACAGTAGACCCTGGAATGCCAATTACTACAAATTATTGTACCCATGTGTATGTGATTAAAGGCACTATATCACACCACACTTCTCTAAAAATAAATAATGTATTTCTCTCAAAAATACTAACTATCAACACTCAGGGAAGCTACCATATGATTTATTTTAAAAAAAATATGTAATTACAATACAATATTAAATTAAAAAGTAATTAATGAATTACTGCATTGTTGCATTAAATCGACTCTCATTCCCTCTACCGGCCGAACATTATGTCATGCGAATCCCATAGAGTTATGTCCCTTGGAGCGCTCTTTACGAATATCCTTTGCACAACTTCAATCTCCTATCCAGAGTTCCATGCGGCAAGCATTTTTGACGAGTCTTCACATCTAATTAAACATCTTTGATAGAATGATTAGTTTCACTGAGAAAATATCCTAGAACATGCAACACTATTTCGATTTGCGTAGCGATCCTCTGTTTACATAGGTTGTAAGGCTCCAGGTGCTGTCATCGAAGCCAACAGAGAGCAAACGATGCAACCAGTTTGATATCTAAATATGTACTGTCATAAATGTTACTGTCGCAGAGAACAAGAGAAAAGTCCGGTCACGTGATATGCAAATTAGCCTGTGGCAGTAGTGTTATGCTAAGTGGCACAACTTGTGATTGCAACCAGTTCGGCAAACACCTACAACAACGCGTGCGAGTTTTCGATGTACGGAGCAGTTTGGAAGCTGTTCGCCTCGACGTTTCAATTATCGATTTCAGGCAAGTCGTAAGGGATAATAAGTCTTTTATTGCATTAATAGGAAGCTGAAGTGAGTGCATATGCCCCAATATATATATTATAGGCCAAAATATTGTCGAAAATGTGTGGCTTTGTGCCTTTAATGCAGTCTCAGGACACGTGAGTTTGTTTATTGAAAAAGCGGCCATTGTGGATGCGCTGGCCTTCTAGAAATATTTAGGCTGTCCCCAGTCAGTGGTTTATTGTCAGTGCTTCATGTACAAAATTTGGTGTAACCAGAAAATCAACATCGGCGTGGAGGTCACCTATAGCCGCGACATGACATCTTGATCGTGTGGATGCACTTCTTGGATATTTAATCATTTGAAGTTTCATGACATATGACATTGGTATAATAAATGAAGATTTGTACAGTACATCAAGCAAAGAAAAATAAATATGTGCCTACTTTTTACTTTCTTTGATAACTGTAGGTTCATCCGTTGCTAAGTACACCTTTCTTTCCACTTTTGACCCGGTTTGAATGTCAAGGCCGTTGAAGTAGTCTTCGACGTACACCATGTATTCATCAAGATAATGGAGAGCTGCTTCCTGGGTAAGCTTATCTGTACGACGAACGTGAACCCTAGGGTTAAACCAAGAATAGTCAGACACCAACAAATGCGAGAGTGGGGCTCACAGATATGATCATGGATTTGTCGCACTATTTCTGATTTTAATAGCTTTGGAAATAGAATTATCCACTCAAGACCTATCTTTCATTATAGCAGTAATGCCGTAGTACTGTGTACCACATTTCATACTAGTATCGGCAAGTTCACAGTTCTGCCCTCATGGTACTTAAGTCTGACATCCTCATCCCCTTCTTTTCTCCTTGAACATCAGTTGTTTTATGTCATTACACCAGATATGAATGCTTCATTTCTCCCTCAATGAACCGTGAATATCGATTTCATATCGAAAACAAAAAGCTGCGTAAATGTTTCGCTTGTTTGTTGTTCATACTACACTCAGAATTATGTAAATAATCGAGTCAGGAACAGACAATACAGAGAACACCCGGTTTTACGAAACAGCTATTTAAAAAGGATTTATTTTTTTTAGCCAATAGGAGTTGAGATCCCACAACTCTCATCTTGTACCGGGATGGTCGGAAGACTGATACAGTCATACAGTTAACAGTTGATGTACACTGATGAAGAAAGGTAGGGATACATTAACCACATCCAGGCTTCAGGTTGTTTCATACAGTTAACAGTTGATGTACACTGATGAAGAGAGGTGGAGATACATTAACCACAGCCAGGCTTCAGGTTGTTTCATACAGTTAACAGTTGATGTACACTGATGAAGAGAGGTGGAGATACATTAACCACATCCAGGCTTCAGGTTGTTTCATACAGTTAACAGTTGATGTACACTGATGAAGAGAGGTGGAGATACATTAACCACAGCCAGGCTTCAGGTTGTTTCATACAGTTAACAGTTGATGTACACTGATGAAGAGAGGTGGGGATACATTAACCACATCCAGGCTTCAGGTTGTTTCATACAGTTAACAGTTGATGTACACTGATGAAGAGAGGTGGGGATACATTAACCACAGCCAGGCTTCAGGTTGTTTCATACAGTTAACAGTTGATGTACACTGATGAAGAGAGGTAGGGATACATTAACCACATCCAGGCTTCAGGTTGTTTCATACAGTTAACAATTGATGTACACTGATGAAGAGAGGTAGGGATACATTAACCACATCCAGGCTTCAGGTTGTTTCATACAGTTAACAGTTGATGTACACTGATGAAGAGAGGTGGGGATACATTAACCACAGCCAGGCTTCAGGTTGTTTCATACAGTCAACAGTTGATGTACACTGATGAAGAGAGGTAGGGATACATTAACCACATCCAGGCTTCAGGTTGTTTCATACAGTCAACAGTTGATGTACACTGATGAAGAGAGGTGGAGATACATTAACCACATCCAGGCTTCAGGTTGTTTCATACAGTCAACAGTTGATGTACACTGATGAAGAGAGGTGGAGATACATTAACCACATCCAGGCTTCAGGTTGTTTCATACAGTTAACAGTTGATGTACACTGATGAAGAGAGGTGGGGATACATTAACCACAGCCAGGCTTCAGGTTGTTTCCTGAATGAGCAGAATGTTCCGAAGCGTCTCGTTTCAACACCTGCGAAGGCCTCATTCACTCACCCACTCGTGTCAACACCACATTATTTCAATTAGTAATTGTATGATTGTTCCCTGTGTAATATTATGCTACAATATATTGTGCTCAATCGAATGTTAAAACATGGCAACCACATTCCACGAAAATCCAGTGTTTGGCGAAACATTTAACCTACAGCAGATTCAGTTCTTACACTCACAAGTGAAAACCAAAATAAAAAGTTAAAAACCCGTTATACCCAACTATTGGTCCTCTAAACTTGATTTTCTTCTCATATTCTTCAAGATCACGCTCGGTATCGGCATTGAATCTTGTCAAATACTTTGCAACTTGACCTATCCACCAAACAATTGGATTCCCATGGAAACGTTGTAATGTCGGTGCAAGGTCTGCTGGGATGGCTAGGGGGAGATAATCCGGATGAAAACCTATGTTGTCAAGGACAGGCAGCAAGATTTCCATATGGTCCGGGCCTCCCTCCTGAGAAATGTCGTTTAACTCTAATAAAAGAATGTATATATCAACATGGAAGACGTGAATCAACGGCCAGTGTACCCTCAAATCTGGTTCATAATGTGATTGAAGGTGATCAGTCATACAGCTCGTCATCAGTTTCAGGTTCACCCACTCACTCACTCACTCACTCACTCACTTAAACATATTCAGAGAAATCACACATGAAATTTGATTTGAATTAATCAATCATTGACACCAAGTCAATATCGACAAAAGAAAGATATTTACGGAATACATGCGTCCCACACTCATGGCCCGAATTTAGTACAGTCGGTTGTAGGCTGCGTGTTGAACCACAGAGAGAAATAGATTCCATGTATATTTAAAGTTATGAATCGACGATCGATGCCAATGTTTCGGTGATAGAACTTAAGTTTTTTCTTAAAAAAACATTTTCACATTTCTCCAGTCGGATACCCACACACATAAGCAGAATATGACGGGCTAGAATGATATTGAGGACACTGCCACCATGAATACGACAGCACACGCTGAAGAGGCTTATCAGGTCCTTTCGGTCAACGAGCGAAATGTATATTGGCCACAGGACTCTACCTAACCCGACCACATAGGGGACAATATGACATCAAATATGTTAGAAATAATATATTTCTATATATCTTATCTATATTTCTTATACTGAATAAATCTGTCTGTCTGTCTGTCTGTCTGTCAAATATGTTAGAACCAACCAGCTATACACGATCGTTCATTTTACATCACATTTATATTCACATATGGTATTAAAAGTTGTATGCTGGTCACGAGGGGGGACATGGGTTGATGTACCCTCTATGTTTGTTTATGGGCCCCGAGCTACCAGTGAACAACGTATGTATCTTACCGAACACCGCAATGTTCATTTTGAACTGTTTGATGCACGGGTATCCGATCATAATAAGGAGTACAAGAGTTAGGTAATTGGCCAATACCGACGACAGACAAGAAAAACAAAATTAGAGTTATCTCCCTTCCATCGATTTGCATTATCAAAACATCGGCAATTTCCGTCCATCCTATGCTACTCAGTTATTCGAGGTAAAGAATTACTAACAAGAAGTACCAAGTGAATTCCCACAGCTCGCATTCCCAGCGGGTAACAGAAAATGTTACTCGCTTGTAAGCAGGGTACATTGAAAATAACAGAAGAACGCTCAGCCAATCAGAAAACGACATTTATGTGAGGTACGATAAACTAGATTGTGCATGGGCATGTTTGTGGTTTATACGCAACGGTATATGATATGATTACAGATTTTTCACATTTATAGAAGGCCTACATCTTATTCCGAATGGAGACTAAAGCAGGATTTGCTTACCATTCCATTGGACCACATGGTTTTCGTCATATGACTTTAAACAAGTTTCGCTGAGAGGTTTAAAGAATGGCGTCCAGGACTGTGTGTTCTTCTCAAGATTCACAACGAGCGTCCTGTTGGAGGCGTATGCCATGATGAGACAGTACGCCATGTGGTGCAGCTGGCATCCATACCCGCACGACTTAGGGGAGCAAATGTACTTCCGGGCTGTACGGCAGTTCCTGGGATTCTGTGGAAGGACAATAGGACAATACAATTATAAAATAAGCAAACACATGTTTTACAAAAGCATCATATAAACACTTGTCCCAAAATTGAAGACATGCATACTGATATAAATGTACAAAGCACTTTAATAAATACAACCTTTTACAACTGTTACAATTATTTATGTAGTGTACTATGTAGTTAAAGCAAAATATATATATTTATCAAGATTTAAAATAGTTGATTGACAATTTGAATTCATTAAATTAGTTAAAGGTTCCTGGGATGGATTTACAGTATAGTTACATTTAATACACATTTTCTGTAAATCAGTAAATCCTGTACATACCAATGAAAAGTGAAATTCATTTTCAACATAATCTAGTCCATAACATGAACAGTGAGTATGTAATTCCATGATGAGTTAACGACAAAGCGCAAGACACGAGAATGAAATAATAGATTTCATGAAATCTCGTAAACACATCTCCATTAAACATTCCAGCCTCATACATCGCCCAACCGTAAAGGGGTGGTGGAGTAGCCTAGTGGTTAAAGCGTTCGTTCATCACGCCGAAGACCCGGGTTCGATTCCCCACATGGGTGCAATGCGTGAAGCCAATTTCTGGTGTTCCCTGCCGTGATGTTGCTGGAATATTGCCAAAAGCGGCGTAAAACCATACTCATTCACCCACCCGTAAGTGAACTGTCGGTGTATTACCCCATTGTTACTACCTCAACGAGGTGTTTGGATCGGTTGCATGAATCATGTATATAATCATAATCCTCCTTGGATTCCGGCTACATAATAAGCATGTGGTTATTGATGACGGTCAAATAATGTCTGTCAAATCCTCATTAAAAGCAAAGGTAGACCTGTATATGGCTTAGTGAAACTAACGCCAGAGTCCCTTGCCGTCAAAGTCCATGTTATCCACTCTGCCCTCAACTGACTTATACTACATCGGATGCGTATTTGTTAACACACACATCACTGTGCTATATACCTGTATATAGGCAAAACGTCTCTGGACTTTCTGACCCAGTTCATTCATGATGGCCCACTTTCTCTTGTCTCTGCCGTCACCATCCTGTATTTTATCCAGTTTGTGCTTGATCCTCCTTTGAAACATATATTTTAAAGAAAGCCATTTTCTAATTTGAATAGAAATCTGTTGGAAAATGTACATAATGACGACTAGGAGACATGATTAATTACGACTAGGAGACGTTCTTGTAATTCTTAAGCTTGTCTTCAGATGGACAAATATGTACTTTGAAATTGAATATTAGTTACATTTCAGTAAAAAGTAAAATGTTATACATATTACATGGTTCCTATATTTCGCATCTCGTATAATCAGTGTAGGAGCTGCCAAGGTTCCTATTGTCTGTATATTAGCTATGTCTATTGTGTGTAGCAGCTGCCAAGGTTCCTATTGTCTGTATGGGAGCTGCCAAGGTTCCTATTGCCTGTATATTAGCTATGTCTATTGTGTGTAGGAGCTGCCAAGGTTCCTATTGTCTGTATGGGAGCTGCCAAGGTTCCTATTGCCTGTATATTAGCTATGTCTATTGTGTGTATGGAGCTGCCAAGGTTCCTATTGTCTGTATGGGAGCTGCCAAGGTTCCTATTGCCTGTATATTATTATATGGGAGCTGCCAAGGTTCCTATTGCTGTATAAGTCTATTGTGTGTATGGAGCTGCCAAGGTTCCTATTGCCTGTATATTAGCTATGTCTATGTCTATTGTGTGTATGGAGCTGCCAAGGTTCCTATTGCCTGTATATTAGTGTATGTCTAGGTTGTGTTGTATGGGAGCTGCCAAGGTTCCTATTGTCTGTATGGGAGCTGCTGTAGGGTTCCTATTGCCTGTATATTAGCTATGTCTATTAGCTTGTGTGTATTGTGTATAGGAGCTGCCAAGGTTCCTATTGTCTGTATGGGAGCTGCCAAGGTTCCTATTGTCTGTATATTAGCTATGTCTATTGTGTTTATGGAGCTGCCAAGGTTCCTATTGTCTGTATGGGAGCTGCCAAGGTTCCTATTGCCTGTATATTAGCTATGTCTATTGTGTTTAGGAGCTGCCAAGGTTCTATTGTCTGTATGGGAGCTGCCAAGGTTCCTATTGCCTGTATATTAGCTATGTCTATTGTGTTAGGAGCTGCCAAGGTTCCTATTGTCTGTATGGGAGCTGCCAAGGTTCCTATTGCCTGTATATTAGCTATGTCTATTGTGTGTATGGAGCTGCCAAGGTTCCTATTGTCTGTATGGGAGCTGCCAAGGTTCCTATTGCCTGTATATTAGCTATGCTATATGTCTATTGTGTGTATGGAGCTGCCAAGGTTCCTATTGTCTGTATGGGAGCTGCCAAGGTTCCTATTGCCTGTATATTAGCTATGTCTATTGTGTGTATGGAGCTGCCAAGGTTCCTATTGTCTGTATGGGAGCTGCCAAGGTTCCTATTGTCTGTATATTAGCTATGTCTATTGTGTTTAGGAGCTGCCAAGGTTCCTATTGTCTGTATGGGAGCTGCCAAGGTTGCCTGTATATTGCCTGTCTATATTAGCTGCCAAGGTTCCTATTGTCTGTATGTCTGGGAGCTGCCAAGGTTCCTATTGCCTGTATATTAGCTATGTCTATTGTGTTTAGGAGCTGCCAAGGTTCCTATTGTCTGTATGGGAGCTGCCAAGGTTCCTATTGCCTGTATATTAGCTATGTCTATTGTGTGTATGGAGCTGCCAAGGTTCCCTATTGTCTGTATGGGAGCTGCCAAGGTTCCTATTGCCTGTATATTAGCTATGTCTATTGTGTGTATGGAGCTGCCAAGGTTCCTATTGTCTGTTGGGAGCTGCCAAGGTTCCTATTGCCTGTATATATGAGCTATGTCTATTGTGTGTAGGAGCTGCCAAGGTTCCTATTGTCTGTATGGGAGCTGCCAAGGTTCCTATTGCCTGTATATTAGCTATGTCTATTGTGTGTATGGAGCTGCCAAGGTTCCTATTGTCTGTATGGGAGCTGCCAAGGTTCCTATTGCCTGTATATTAGCTATGTCTATTGTGTTTAGGAGCTGCCAAGGTTCCTATTGTCTGTATGGGAGCTGCCAAGGTTCCTATTGCCTGTATATTAGCTATGTCTATTGTGTTTAGGAGCTGCCAAGGTTCCTATTGTCTGTATGGGAGCTGCCAAGGTTCCTATTGCCTGTATATTAGCTATGTCTATTGTGTGTATGGAGCTGCCAAGGTTCCTATTGTCTGTATGGGAGCTGCCAAGGTTCCTATTGCCTGTATATTAGCTATGTCTATTGTCTGTATGGAGCTGCCAAGGTTCCTATTGCCTGTATATTAGCTATGTCTATTGTGTGTAGGAGCTGCCAAGGTTCCTATTGTCTGTATGGGAGCTGCCAAGGTTCCTATTGTCTGTATATTAGCTATGTCTATTGTGTGTATCGGAGCTGTCAAGAACCCTTTTTTCTGTAATGTACAATGTTTGTGAAAGTACTAGTGGAAGACAGACTGCTTCTGTTGGGACGTTGAATGTAGTGCTGTTGCTGGGTGGATATCCTTTGCTCCGAGAGAAGGAGCAGAACAAGTATGTTTCCAGTTAGCAACTTATTGTGGCAAGCGTCTTTTCAGTATTTTGTGGCAAGAAATAACCCTTTATCGTCTTTTGTGGCAAGAAATAACCCTTTATCGTCTTTTGCATGCCATCAATATTCATCTCATACACGTGTAATGAATACTTACCAATGATACTGGTCAGCAGTTTTTCGCATGTGGTCGACCCTCTGTTTTAGTTGTCTCCGGCTTGTGATGTTATGCAGCAGTTCGAGTTTATCTCTCAAATAGAACCAGAAATTGTCCAGTAAATAAACGGCTCGTCTGGCCTCTTTTTCCCCGCCCCACAGAAGGTCATCATCTGGTAGAGACAGTAAGTCCGTGGAGGTTCACTTCGGTCTTTACCAATATTCCAGAAATATTTGGTAAGGATAAAAGTATCAGAATGCGTATCACATAATGTATCCATATGGGGAATCAAACCCGGTTTTCGGCGCTTTACCCACTGCACCTAGATACACAGGTAATGTAATATTATAGTCTGTGAATGTTTGATATCGATTCAGAGGCATGGGAAGTTTTCTACAATTTTGGTAAAATGCCACGTTGATATCAATTTACTTACATCTTATAATTGGTCGGTTTTCTGATATATTTGCAGTAAAACACGATCAACTTGAAACCGATAACTCAATAATATTTAAACATCGCGGAAAGTGATATCGTACAGTAAATAGCTTATATCAGGAATTAAACTGCATTAAACTAATGTATGATATATAATGTCATACATCAGAAATACAGATGTTCCTATGCTATACATGATATTGTGCCACATGTATGTGTACAGTGACACCAACAAATCAGAATATTCCAACGTTATGCGATGGTTTATTGAGCATGTAGAACTTGCATCCACGCGCTGGGCTTATTAAAATATGTTCCTGCTAGACTGCTGTACAATTAAAACAATTTATATTCAATAAAATGGTGTAACAACTATTGGTATTTTATGTTCCTAAGTTCGTTTGTAGTGGTGGGTAGATGTTTACGGTGACGTAAGCGCCGTCCACAGAGATCTCAGACATGTTCGATGACTGACAATGAGTGCCAGCGATGACGATGAGTGCCAGCCAAGGTATGGTGGTTCCTGTTGTGGGTACTCAGTAACAATACAAGCCTTGTGTGTTCTTACGTTGTCAAAACAAAACGACGCCCATATCGGTGTGCAGATGGCACCCCGTGTGCCTCCAGGGTGTTGTCACAGTGTTACAGCCCAGTGACACGCCCAGTTCAGCCAGTCAGTTCTGCGATCATAACCCACACCATTACTGAGCCACCCCCAAAACGATCGTTCTGTCCGACATAACGCCATCAGAACGCTCATTCCGTCTACACCACATTCTGCTGCTCCTGTGAAGGAAGTTCAAAGTAAACCTTGATTCATCTGAAAACGTAAAGTTTCCCCAACGATGATTGGTCCACCGCTGGCGCTCTTAAAAACAACGTCCAGTTACAGTGACGGTCCGCCAATCGTGTCATAACAAGTGTGGACGCATTGCATGCACAATCCACCTATGTAGACGATTACAAATCGGCTGTCCACTCACTGTAGCCCTTTAAAGCTCCTCTCCCATTTGAGAGTTACTTCAACAACGTTTTCATAACGCGTTAGGATGAAACGGTCTTGTCCGATAGTAGTCAACCAGACCGACATGTCATCAACGTTATTTGTATGTGCTGTATATTGCAATAATTACTAATTGTGAAACGTTACGAGCTTGTGACACAATGTTCTGTCTTGTTCCAGCTTCCATCATATCATGCTGGCATGTAGCCTGTCCTGACGTGTCAGAAGCCGCATGCCAAAAAACGTTCCATTGAGTCTAAAACAATAAAGTTTTAGTCTAGTTTTTATCATTGAAATCTACAGCAGCATACTGACACGTTTCATTGTAAATTTCGAATTTTATCCCGGCCATGTTCACGTGCAGATGAAACACATTTGCAAGAAATTGGCGTGCTTGCACGAAATTCATTCAACGTTTTGAATGGAATAATCTTTTTCTATATCCATAAACAATCATACAACTTGGTTAAATAATATTTGATATATTTTGCATATCTGTCGCATTGTTATTTAATTGATAACAACGTTATCCTTAACATGATTTCATTCCACACAGCGACCACAATTCATGGCTTACCACCGTCGCAGCTCCAAGGTCATTTTGTGGATTCTGGCCCTGCCTTGTCTCAACACTCCTCATCTCCAAACATGGATAATTCCATATATGTTCAGTAGTAGTGGTGATGTGTAGTCCTCTGCATAGAGCTCAGGTCACAATCAGTTGAAGTGAAGCAACTTTGGGCACGTAGAGTCCTGGGGAAGGGTGACCGTGTTTGGTAGCTTGACTCCTGAGAGTTTCTAGGACTTCAGTCCTGCCCCACAACGAAGCACATGTGGCATATGTGGTCACATGTAAGTGAGTTAGGTAAGTGAGTTTGTTTAATATTGCCTCTGTTCACCCAGCAGAAAATGGGTACCCGGTGGGGTAAGTCATGTGACTATAACCTTCTAGCCTCACAGGCAGCTTGGGTTATCCGGGGTAATAATGTGCTGCTTTGATTGTTAGCATTATGTACATCCACCTAGTGAATCGAGGTTACAGAGCACTACACCTGGAATCTATAGACATTTCTGACACACAGCTGAAAAGCTTTCCAGTTTTTGGTGGAATCCTGGGCAGAACAGATCCCCGGCGTCTACTGTTTATTGTTGTTCCAGAAAATATTTGAAAAATATACGTGGAAAATATCTCAGTATTGTAAGAAAGTCATTTCTAACACCGTATAGCTACCTATATGACGGATGACATGGAATTCAAGAAATGATATCTACTGATGTTGGACAAACGAACATTGACCGCTTGTGGCCTCAGTTACAGTGGAAATCATCCAAATTACCAAAGACATGGAGATTTGTGACTGTACTGATAAATCCTGGGTTCAGCACCAGATTCCAATGAACAATCCAAACATTTGACATCAATCTCGTCAAAGAATGCAGAGAAAGGTTATGGTCTCAAGGATGCGGAGAGTGTCATCCCGATGGACGACCTTCAGTCACGCAACACCTAAACGGAGTATATTAGACTGCACGTTTCAGGCAATTGCAGTATGAAATAAGCAGTCAGTGAAATAGGAAGGTGTGCTCTCCTATCAGCATAAAGAACCAGCGCACAAGTCAATCCTTACCATGGCTATAATCCACAGTGTGGATTTGAACTTCCCCAGAACCAACCTTGTTCTCCTCATTTGGCTCCGTCAGGTATCTGTCTGTACCTAACCAGAAAGAAAGCTATGGCTGACTGGAACCCATTTCAACACAAACGATGACGTCATAGCAGCTGTGGAGAATATTTTGAACAGCCAGAACAAGGACGTCTGCGAAAGTGGGATACAATCCATCCATCCATTTCAAATATGCATCAGTAAGGTAAGAGAATAGGGCCTGTAAGTCTCGTGAGGCGCTACTTCCGATACTAAGCTGGTTCCCGGCTCCCTTTGCCCACACAAACTTGCGATATGCGATACGGGTCCCAGCTTACTTTCGGTCCAGATTTCCGGTGTCAAGTGTATATTCAAGAAACAATTCTGGTTCCAAATTGCGCGACCGCCAAACATGACTTTACTAGACCGGACCAAGTGTACAACCATGCTTGGCTGTTACAGCTGTTGACAGTCGTAATAGTTGGCTAATTTGGGGATGTTAGATCGGAAATTTGTTATTTCAAGGATTATCGGTTTCTATCAACTGAAAACCATGAGACCATTCGAAAAGGTATGAAAAGTTGTTTGTCACCGGAAAGGCTAAGGCCTCGCGAAGTGTTGTGACCTTCTTACGAGCCCTAATGTGTTGAAACGCACATAATTCCAATGTGTTTTGGTCAGTTCTTTCTGTGTGAGGCTCAGGACATTTCAATCATCCCTTGTAATAGTTGTATGTCAGTACGGAATATCTTCTTAATAGATTATATTGTTAAAAGAATGTAAATTATTGTACTGGTGGGTTTTTAATATATTTTTATATGTAGCAATAAAACTTTTATCAACTTCACCTGGTTGCTCTTTCGTGGGGCTCTTCTGACCAGGCGCCGCATCCAAAAACACCCTATAGATTGGAAGGAAACAAATCGATATTGTCATAGGCAGTCTAATTATGATACCCTGTGCAGGTGTTGTTCAGTTCGCAAATGTTGGACAGTTGTAATGTTGTCTGGTATTGACATATTGTCTGATGCATGCTTCCTTAATATAGTATCAACACATGTTACAACATCGACCCTGAACTAGATACAAGTAAGGTAGTAAGCTTGGGTGTGTGTATGAGTGTGCTAATGTATCTTTGAATATGTGGTCTACATATATCGATCCGTATGCTAGTTGCAATTAGACTTGTTATATAACTGAATTGTGTACAGTTTGTGAGCTGATGGGTTCAAACGAGTAGCTTTGTGAGTTTATTGACAGTGCTCAACTTGACAAATGATTTCATACACGTGTGATCGTCAATGAAGTTCAGTGTTGTGATGTTGTGTTTGTGCATGTCCGTGAAGTGTGTGTGTGGGGGGGGAGGAGGGTTAGACGAACTGTACTGTGTATGGGTGTGGGTGTATGCATGTGTGTATGGTCTACACGTGTGTGTGTGGTAGCCAGTGTGATTTAGGCGTGTGTGCATATGTGCAGGTCTGTGTGAGGTTATTAATGTGATTTAGACGGGCTCTGGGTGTACCTCTGTGTGTGTGTGTGTGTGTGTGTGTGTGTGTGTGTGAGAGAGAGAGAGATATGTGCACGTGTATGTATGGTAGTGTGTGTAAATTAGACGAGTTGTTAGTGTACGAGTGGGTGTGTGTATGGTGTACACCTATGAGCAGGTGTGTGTGGTGTGCACGTGTGTGTAAGTGGTAGTAATGTGAATTAGGCCAGCTATGGGTGTACGAGTGTGTGTATGTGTGTGATGTACACGTGTGTATATGTGTGATAGTATGAGGTAGTGGATCCGTGGGTGTACCTGGGTGTGTGTATGTGCGCATAATGTACATTTGTGTGTATGTATATACGGTGTGCACGTGTGTGTGTGGTAGTGAATGTGATGTACGTCACCACAGCATCACGCTGGTCTGTAATTGTCTCGCGTGTACAAACCAGTGGTTGATGTCATGAGATCCAAGCTTTTCTAATCTGATACTCATAATAATAAGCAATGGTTTCTTACCTGGAATATTGCTCAGTTAAAACACTTTCACCCACACATACTCAGTAAAATATTGAAATACCAAGTAATCTGTGACACGATTGCAAGTAAAGTTAGTTTTGAACGATGTGTCGGTGAGAACCATTTTGGTGGAAGAAAGCCCAGAGTGACGGTTACCGTGCTGGTTCATTGCAATGGTGAAAGACAGGAGTCGAGGTATGTGCAGAATAAAACTGCAGCTGAGTTGCTGGAGATCTATGGGGGCCATGTGATCATGGGAAGCCTACCTACACAGCGAATTAGCGAATCTAAGACCACTGTGCCACTTGCCGAGCTTTACCTGTTGTCGCCTTACCTTATTTCGTCAAAGATGGCGGCTTTTAGATGCTCATTTTCAGACAAGACCGTCTCGATTTTCTGGACAAGGTTGCTGGCCAAGTTGCTATCGATGAGCGTCATGGCGCTTTGTCCCTCTTCTGGAATTCGACGTACAAGGATACAAATAGTAACAGTCCATGTTACTAACACAGCAATCTGCATCCAGCATTTCATCGTGACGGCTTCCTGGCTCAGTGGTCAAGGGAACGACAGCCTCCTTGAAGGGAATAGATCATTGTTTTCATATTTATGCAGAAATATGTATGTATATCTGCCTCTCTAGTATTGGCTTTGGTCCCTTTCACCCTTAGCCAATGATCCTATAACATGTGCGTGTGTGGGCGGGTTATGTCCCGGCTCGTCAGTTGCAGGTGGAACTCAAACACGTATACCATGGCTAAAGTAATGACGCTCCTGTAACGATCACAGCTAATCTGGGGTTCGAACTGATTATAAAACATTTCCGTCACACATAAGACATACATCTCAGGACATACTGGCTATATATGTCTCCAAATTTAATCTAAAGATACCATTATGTTTCTGTTCGGTTATTACATAAAGTGATAGTCAGAATGTTGCTACACGCTAATATACAAATACAAACACTCAGACATGAATACAAATGGAACGAATTAGTCGCCTCCTACGGGAAGCTGGATATACACGTCATTTGCATATCAATTTATCATTGAAGAGTTTCATTTCAGTTCGCCTGTTTAGCATGACAGACATACCGAGTAATCACTGACAAAGAATAGTTCAGTACTTACTGACATGATATTTTACAACACTATAACATCACTCACCTTACAGTGTCCTTTATCTGCAGGCCACATCCCACGCTTCAACTTATAGCCTACTTCAGTATACTCAGTATCGCATATCACACCTTGCACATCCCTTCAACATATGTCAGCAGCTGAATCTCGGGGTTCAGATCATGTTTTGCTCAGATTGGTTGTGAAAATACTCAACATATGGTGCCCCCCTGTCGATATTGAGGTATATTGAACACGGTTTGAACAGGCTTTGCATATACGGGCTTGGTATTTGATGGGGTATCTGAGATTCCGGCACAGGTCTTTGACCACATTAAGATGATATACCACTCACTGTGGCGTGAACACAACCAATTGTTCGGGCACCTTCTGAAGTTATAGACAGTACATATATTGTATACAGACACCACCTCGTCACCTGTATACAGAGGGATATGTCAGTTGAGAACTGTTGACAGATTCTTCCTTGTCAGTTTGATAAGATGTAAATACTTACATATTAACGGCAGTTCTGTTAACCTCACATCTATGAAAGTCTTCGAATATCGTTTCCATCGGACGCCACGTCACTGATTGCTGCTGGCTTTATTAGCGCAGCGGTACATGTGTATAATTGTTTCGGCTCTAAATACCAGCACAAGGCATCTGAAAAAACACTAGACTGAACACATTTACCACGCAGATAAGTGGTATGTTTACACACAGGGCGCCTGTGAGCGAATGTCGTTAAGGCCACCACAACCTCTCTGAAAACGAATGCTCCTTCCTTTACCCCTTAACACCGCTGTCTGAACACCTGCCCCTACTGAACGCAGGTAATTTCTACAAAGGATTACGGTAAGGAAAGGGTTCTCTTATGTTGACAAAAGAATTCCGAAAACCAATAATTCACTTGTTTTTCCTTTCCAAAAATAGTTTTAATTTAGAAAGATTGATTTGAAATATTCACCGAAACCCACGTATATTTGATCGATATGAATCTGCTCGTATTTCATGTCGTCCATGGGTTATCAATACCGTTTTATGACATTGGTCCTTTTTGTCAATAACCCACGTAGGTCACACGTGGTGGGACTGTCCCATTCTTTTGCTGAATATCCTCAGACCCTGGTTCGATCCCTTCTGGGAGACTAAGACTTCTATAAGGATTCTGTTCTTCAGTTTCTCAAACATGAGGTCAAGTATTATTCACACCATGTGTTTGTCTACTATATGACTTTGCAAAGCCTGATATAGCTGCTTATGTTGTGTATCTTTACATCCTAAAGCGTGACTACTGGGACGACACGAAACATAAAATGGACCTATCGGACGATACATATTGATTGCGCTTCAACAGCTGCATGCGTTTCTTCAGTGCCGTTTGTTTTTGCCATAGTAAACAACTCTCCGCCCTAGCGGTTGTATCACTGGCTTCCTTCATCTGATATTAAAGTATATATTAAGTGCATCAAACGTGTACTTGTGCGTAAATTACGATGTTTCTTTCTTTGTGTTATATTCGGTTAAGAAAGTTTAACTCAAACTTTAATGATGACAAGTTGTAGAAATGCAAAAAATCAAGCTGCTGATTGGCAACTAGACTCGGATCTAGTCTTTCAAATAAACATATATCATTTCAAAAAATGTTCCAAAATTATCTTCATACAAAATAATTAAAAGGAGCCCAGAGACTTTCTTCATTTTCAGCCTGAAACTGTGGTCCATCTAGACTTGAGTATAGTGGTTTCTGGGTCTGTAGAACAGACTACCTGGCAACTGTCTTACTTCATTTCAACGTGCAATACCTGTAAAGCTTGGATCCCTGTTCGGTTGCGAGATGCTCTAACATTTTCGACAACGAAAGGGGTTGTAGACAGGGTGATCCCATCTCTCCATATGTATTTTTATTGGTAGGAAATATACTAGGAATAATGATCAGAGACAACCACAGAATAGAAAGAAATTGTGTTAAGCGACATAGAACATGTTATTGGTCAATATGCAGACTGAATTGTTTTTGGACGGTTGCGAAACCTCTCTTAATGAAGCTATGCTCTCCTTTTACAAGATGTCAGGTTTGAACATAGATATTGACAAAACAAAAGCAGTATGGATAGGTTCAATGGCAGGTAGTAAGGTAGTTTTATCACATGACTATAAGCTGGATTGGCAAAATGAGAATTTCGACATATTGGGAATCAAATTAGATGCTCATTTAGAAAACCTATGAGTACTTAATACAAAGGAGAGACTCGAAAATATAAAAATAATTCTACTGAAGTGGAAAAGACGTAATTTAACGTTGATTATTTTTCAAATTTATATGGAGTGATAAAATTGACCAAAAAAACGAATTAATTGAGTGAGAATGTTCGAAGAAGGTGATCTAAGAATGGTCGATGTGAAAACCTTTATCGACTCTTTAAAACTTTCATACTTGAAGAGATATATTTCAAAATCTAAAAACTATGATCTTGCAGGTTTCCCCTTACAAAACGTTCTTCTCCTGGGAGCCAACATTGCGAAACACTTTAAAGTTAAAAATCCATTTTGGAAAGACTCACTTGATGCCTGGCATAGATATGTTAAAAGATATGTTTGTAACAAAACAATAACGATATTAATGAAATACTCATGCAACCACTATGGCTAAATCACCAGTGTAACCAGCCAAGCTTGATCATTCATAACTCGCTTAAATGTGGAGTAGTTTATATTAAAGATATTTGAAACGACCACGATTTTCTAACATTTGTGGAACTGAAAGGAAAATTTGGCATTAATGGTACTGTAATTGGTTTTAATCGTGTTCTTCTTAGTACATGTATACCAAAACATTGGAAAGAAGTTATACGAACAAACAACAATTTTAATATACCGACGTTATCTATGTGTTCTCCTTGGAATGATTTTATTAAACCTAGTAAACGCTCAAGGATATACTATGATAATTTCATCCCGAATGTTTGTCTCAAATGGAACGGGGAACAAAATGATTTGATAAATTGGAAATCCATATTTTCACAATACATGTATAGACAATCCACTAAAGACACGAATCTCTTAGATTTTCAATATAACTTTTTGCACAGAGCCATTTACACTAAACGAGAACTACTGAAATTGATAGATAATGACCTATGTACATTATGTGGTTGAGTAAGTGAGGATATTTACCATGTATACCTTGATTGTCCAATCATAAAAATGTTCTGGACAGATTTTAACAATTTTGGTAAAACGTATGAAACGTCAAACCATGATATTCTATTTTGTTGCAGTGATAACCATTTACTCAACCACATGATATTATTGGCAAAGTGCCACATTTTCGTAATGAATATAAAAGGACACAAACCTAGCTTCACAATCTATAGAACATTATAAAGGACGTTTATGAGATTGAGAAATTTATCGATAAGAAAAACGACAATTTTTACAGAAAATGGAATGTCCTAGATGCAGTCCTGTAATTTAAAATTTAGTCTTCCACATTCTCTGTATAACTATGTAGCATGACAATTGTTTAGTCCATATTCCCAATTAGAGATACATTATACTGTCTGCATTTTATTATGCAATCTGTAGCATCTCACTCCATCCATATATCTTGTTCAACTGTAACCAAATAAAGTGATTAAATAATACTTAAAAAACATTTGAGGTAATCAATGTATTTGATATACTGTTGTGGGTTTTTTCGTTTGGTGATTTTTTGGTTTTTCTTTGTTTTGTTTTTTGTGTTATTTGAAAATCTAACGACAACCGGGGACTGTGTACAACTTCGAGACAAGAAAATATAGATTGTTATCCCGAATCGATGCATGACCGGTCAGCTGGTTCGTTAAAGCGTGTTCCCAGTAGACTTACTCCGTCACGAGACTTGTATATTGAAACAAACAACAAACAGTTCAACATTTTGAACAGCTGTTTTATTACTTTGGAATTTAATTGCATGAAGAATATAACACTAGCGAAAATATACATTACTTTGTGACTGAAAAGGGTCATCGTTTTATTGTGTGGACATGGAGTACTACGGTGGTGCGTTGCAGTGAAGTCATGGGACGATGTCACGAAACGACTCAGTAATTCGACAAAACATTAGGGTAAAGCGATGAAAGAATGGTGTGATTAAACGACTTAGCAACTGGACAATACTTAAGAGTGAAAAGATGAAAGGATGGTGTGATGAAACGACTTAGCAACTGGACAATACTTTAGAGTGAAAAGATAAAAGGATGATTATGATGAAACGACTTAGCAACTGGACAATACTTTAGAGTGAAAAGATGAAAGGATGGTGTGATTAAACGACTTAGCAACTGGACAATACTTTTGAGTGAAAGGATGGTGTGATGAAACGACTTAGCAACTGGACAATACTTTAGAGTGGAAAGATGAAAGGATGGTGTGGTGAAACGACTTAGCAACTGGACAATACTTTAGAGTGAAAAGATGAAAGGATGGTGTGATGAAACGACTTAGCAACTTGACAATACTTTAGAGTGAAAAGTTGAAAGGACTTAGCAACTGGACAGTACTTTAGAGTGAAAAGATGAAAGGATGGTGTGATGAAACGACTTAACAACTGAACAATACTTTAGAGTGAAAAGATGAAAGGACTTAGCAACTGGACAATACTTTAGAGTGAAAAGATGAAAGGATGGTGTGATGAAAGGACTTAGCAACTGGACAATACTTTAGAGTGAAAAGATGAAAGGATGATGTGATGAAACGACTTAACAACTGAACAATACTTTAGAGTGAAAAGATGAAAGGACTTAGCAACTGGACAATACTTTAGAGTGAAAAGATGAAAGGATGGTGTGATGAAACGACTTAACAACTGAACAATACTTTAGAGTGAAAAGATGAAAGGACTTAGCAACTGGACAATACTTTAGAGTGAAAAGATGAAAGGATGGTGTGATGAAACGACTTAGCAACTGGACAATACTTTAGAGTGAAAAGATGAAAGGATGATGTGATGAAACTACTGGGCAAATAGACGAAACGTTGGAATGAAATGATGTAAATATAAGTGATGAAATTTTAAACGACCCCTGGTCCGTTGCTACATTACTCTAATCTCGCAGTATCGCTCTGTCCAACAGCACTACTGTTTGATGTACACTACACTACACATCACTCTATGCATCGCTTCATCCTTCCATCACATTACTACATCGCCGCTTCGCTCATACATGGAACATTGGTCCTTCTCGGCAATCAGACAATCATCATCATGGTGGGGTGAGAAGCGTACTTATGCCTTGTCCATTGCGAATGAGTGAGTGCAGATATTCGTCAATGTTGGTATTTGTTCTGCAGTAGCGTGGCGAAGGACACTACGAATGGAACTGTGACACGGTACTTACACGAGAGAATGGAACACAGCGTGATAAGCATGCTATTAGACCATTCCACTTACCTGTAGTGAGTTTGTTCTGAATGACCTGGAATACGATTTCAATATTTTGATTTTCACAACTGAAGTTCAGTCAAAGTATCAAATGAAAACAAAAACAATAAAAGCACACCTTCCAAATTTTAATTCCAAAACTTCGACACATTTACATGAAGGTTTACTCTGTTGAATACTTTGAATATTTATTGAACCTCCCAACAGGTTATAATAAATTAAACCAGAGGTTACTAAACAGATCGGGAACGATTTCTCGATTACTGGTTACCCGTTAAGATCAGGGTTAGAATTGGTCTTCAGTAACCCATGTTTGTCGTAAGAGGCGACCAACGGGAACGGATGGTCAGGCTCGCTGACTTGGTTGACACATGTCATCGTATCCCAACTTGGTAGATCGATGCTCATATTGTAGATCACTGGATTGTCTGGTTCAGATACGATTATTTACAGACCGCCGCCATATAGCTGGGACTCTGCCGGGTGCAGCGTAAAACTAAACTCACTCACTCGCTCGAGAAAATAGGGTTGCAAAGTCGATAATTCGGTGCAATATTATACGTGTCTTTAGATAATATCATATACATAATTCTATCGTAGTATCGTCTACGTAGGCGAAAGTATCAATTATTTGTTAATCTTTCACAATTGCTACTAATCTTTGCCTCATTAACTCGAATGTCCATATATCTCGACTACACGGTCCTGTTAAGTTCGAAACAATGAGACTTAATACTTCTGTTAAGAGTTGATTGTAGGAATAAGTATATCTTTACTAAAAACAGCATTTGTCTGGTCCACCATAATTTATTATGTAACATCAGTCAGTACTAGTAATCAATGTAACCATCTAACCCTTGAAGATACGAGGTTGAATTGTTGGCCTTCGGCAATCCATGCTTCGCTGTAAGGGCGGCTAAATGGATTGGGTGTTCATGTGTAGTACCACTGATCTCGTACCCCTGTTCTATATACTACTTTCATGGTTATCGACTTGGTTGATGCACGTCCTTGTTTCCCAAATGCGTAGATCGATGTTCATGGGGGCAATCACTGAATTGTTTGGTCCTGACCACTGTTATATAGCCATATATTGCATAGTGCTGTGTTAAAGTACAAACGACAAAAGACCCCCGCCCAAACCCATTGACCATTTGGTTCATGAGCAACGTTGTCGATAGTTAAAGGCGGATTAACCCAACCCAAGGTTTATAGCTTATCTGTTCATCCAACAAACCAGTACAGGGACAGTGACAACACTTTTCTTTGTTTAGTAAGCACTTGCCACCAGGGACCTGATCAACGAGATCAACGAGAATGTTTTTAAAAGTGTACATATCTACATCCATAACACTAAACGATTTAAATAACTCTGTCTGTACATATCTATACCCTTTGTCTGCCTCTTGTTGAACTTTTTTGTAATATACACTTGTAACTATGTGGAGAGGGCTTATTTAAGTTGGATAACTTGTGCCCAATCAGTTTCTTAATTGAATAAAATATGTTTCAATCAACGAGATACATCTCAACAAATGATTTAATGAAATCGGACGAAAGAAGGTACATTTAACGACTAGTGGTAATAAAGAAATTGGGTTTGAACAATATAAATTTCATCCAAAGACTGAAATAGCTAAATTATGTAAAAATTACTCCCCAAACATTACTACAGGATCAGTGCTTACATCAATCCCCTGAGGAAAACTAAAGAATTAATTAATTAATTGTCAAGTACTCTTTTTGCCTGTACCTTTTAGTCATAAAAACTATTGAGCTTGTCAAGCGAAACACTAACAACACACGCTTGAGGAATGTGTTTCGTGAATTCCCACCTTCACAATAGGCCCTCTTCCCTAAATCGCTAAACCGTAACACTGCTATTTATAGATCGGCATGCCCATAAGAGACCCACTCACAGTTTCGTTCGTTCCTAGAGGACTACACACCTTTCTCGGGCATTCAGAGTTGTAATAGCACTGAGTAACCACTGTACAATATGATGCGATCAGAATCGGAGGTAAGATATTATTAGTATGAAACATACATCAATATTTGCCCAGTCGAATGTCTAAAACGCATGATGTTTGAAGCAGGGTAAGGTGTACTGCAGGGATGTATGTTTTGCCATTACTAGTTACGGTGTGTGGCGTAAAACGCAGTATTGTTTGTTTTGAATGTTCTACTTTTGTCAAGCTACATTATACTCCCTATCCTATGTATAATAAGTTTGAGGTCGATGTGTATAATTGAAAGAACATTCTATTGATATATACACCAATTTTATAAAGAACTTGAAATGATGGATGAGAAAGGAGTAATTATTACCTTTGTCATGAAATTAGGTTCGTGTGATTAATTGCCGATGTTTAATGTCACGCAGTAAACGATTAACTGTTGACGCCCCATGCACATAAGGATGAATGTCTCTTTACTTGATATCATTAGAGAGCAACGCATGATGGTATGAAATACAAGCTGTCTACTCTTAAACATATAATTCAAAGGTCCGTTGTCCGTACGGACGGTATTTGTTAGTAGTAGACGTCGTAGTAGCAGCAGCAGCAGTACTAGTAGTGGCATTAGGATGAGGAGGAGCAGCAACAGTAGTTGTAGTAGAGTAGTAGTAGTAGTAGTGGCATTAGGATTAGGAGGAGCAGCATCTGTAGTAGTAGTTGTAGTAGTAGCCGTAGTCGTCGTCGTCGTCGTCGTAGTAGTAGTAGTAGTAGTAGTAGTAGTAGTAGTAGTAGTAGAGCAGCAGCAGCAATAATAGTCGGAGTAGTAATAGTATGATTATGTATTTACTATCATTATGATGAGATTTAGATTATTTAGATTTATTCCAACAATAGCTTCCATTTTGAATTTTACCTGATTAATGATTACCTATATGCATTGGAATAATGAAGTTGAAAAATATATCATCCATTCTGTTAAAGATGAGAATAAATGAATAATACGCTCGGAAATTACTTATAATGTAAGTCCTCATAATGTAAGTCATAATGTAAAAACGATCAGACATTACGTAAACACACTTGTCAGCTCTGGTTGGATCCAGGTCAGCCACGTTGTGCAATGTACCGCACAATATTAGATTTGTAAAGAACAGTTTGAATAGGTGAAACGTGAATATGTGTAAATGGCAAGGCAATACTAGGGCAAATACCGTGCATATTCGCTTTCCGTTGTTTTGCCACCCACCTGTTACAGATAAGACGTCATATTACATATATAGAAGGGACAAGAAGGGGGAGATGGGGGTGACAACCAATATTGGCATAAGTATATGATGAAATATCGTCATTTAACATTTTGAAAGCTTTACTGATTCCTAGAATGCTGTAACCTTGATCAAAATACCCGTAGAGGCATCCCTGTAGAAAGAGCATACCGGTTTACACCGAAAAAGTGGAAGAAGCAAGAGAAGGGAAAGGTGACCAATGGAAATTTAAAGTCACCCCTCTTGGCACACGTAATGTTTTCTGTGACACATGAGGTTCAAAGGTCTCTTTTATTTTTCGGTTCAGGTGTGTATATCAGCTAGAGTTGCCTATGTGACCGTTATTGAATTCATATGGACAGGGTTTAGTGACTACAGCCCAAGGCTACAGATCGTCTTTTGAATCTCATTGCGGTCAAGGTCAAAAGTTCAAAAGGGGTTTATGGGTCAGGTGTTCATTTGAGTTACCCACGCATTTTCCCCTTTGGGTCACCGCGTTGCTGCTATTTGTGTAATTGGAGACTGAACGAGCGTTTGGGTCCCAATACACTTCCTCGTATAGGGTTATTACATGATTGCTGTGCCTAGATGTGAAAAATGGGAGTAGTCCTGTGTGGTCCTGTGCACATAGCTGTGAAGCAAAGATGGGCGCGGAGAGTCATGGGATGGGTGACTGTGTTTGGCAGCTTGACTCCTGAGAGATTCAAGGGCTTCGTCTTGCCCCTGATTCAAATCAACCGATATGTTACGGTAGAAACGATACATGCAAACACTTGCATTTGTTTTCACGCTCCGCCAGACCGCCCTCAGTGCCTCGCAGGAAAGCACTGATGTTGAAGATCGGTCGGGACCAATATATGACACACCTGGTAGTATGTAGCGTTGATTGTCGCTCATGATATCATTCACCGGTCAACACTGGATGGTTTCGATATAGCTGCACTGTTTTGTCAAACAACAATCCCATCTATATTGTTGTCAGTGACCTGCAACGATTATGTAGAATGTAGAATGTCGTGTTTTAGCTACAGACCAGGTTGTTCTCCATAGTGCTGAATCAGACTGTCGGCGTAACTGATACATAGCCAACATAACAGTGTTAACATAGCGCGTCGTTGTACAGTGCGCATATAACTGACGTTAAGAAAGACGGGTTGACATTTGAAGTGGGCCCCAGTTGACTAATCCCAGCATGCACAGGGGGTGTTGTAATAGCATTGTGTGCAGGCCGTGAGAACTCACGAGGTCGGACACTCGCGTTACAATTTACAAAAAGTGGAACTGATTTATGCTAATGGGAGTCGCCGACTCAAGTCGTCAACAGCCCTGAGGAATAATGTATAAGGGACAGACCCCATGTTACACACGTTTTGTCGATGAGTTTTACATCGTCCAAATTCTCAATTATACACGCGAAACACTCGAAGTGGTTGATGTCAGGCAAATCTTGTCAGTGGTAGCTTGCGTAGTCGTTGCTGGTGTGGGCGGCAGTACTGTGGTAGTCGTTGTTGCTGGTGTGGGCGGCATCTGCGGCAATTGTTGTGGGTGTAAGGAGCAACACCGTTCCAAGACAATAGTGAGCCCTGTATACTGCAGACAGTATTGACCCATGCTTACTGTAAATAGTATTTGTCCATATATACTATAGGCAGTATTAAACCCTGTATACTATAGACAATAGTGAGCCCTGTATAATATAGACAATAGTGAGCCCTGTATACTATAGACAATAGTGAGCCCTGTATACTGAAGACAATAGTGAGCCCTGTATACTATAGACAATGGTGAGCCTTGTATACCATAGACAATAGTGAGCCCTGTATACTATAGACAATAGTGAGCCCTGTATATTGAAGACAATAGTGAGCCCTGTATACTATAGACAATGGTGAGCCTTGTATACTGAAGACAATAGTGAGCCCTGTATACTATAGACAATAGTGAGCCCTGTATACTGAAGACAATAGTGAGCCCTGTATACTATAGACAATGGTGAGCCTTGTATACCATAGACAATAGTGAGCCCTGTATACTATAGACAATAGTGAGCCCTGTATATTGAAGACAGTATTGACCATCTGTATACCGCAGACAATATTGACCGCTGTACACTGCAGGCAATATTGATACCTGTTCACTGCAGACAATATTGACACATGTATACTGCAGAGAATATTGACACCTGTATACTGTAAATAGTATTGACCCATGTATACTACAGGCACTATCAAACCCTGTATACTGCAGACAATAGTGAGCCCTATATACTGCAGGCAGTTTTGACCCCTGTACATTGCAGACAGTATTGACCATTTGTATACTGCAGACAGCATTGACCTATATATACTATAGACAGTATTAAACCATGTATACTATAGACAATATTGACCCATGTATACCGCAGAAAATATAGACCCCTGTACACTGCAGGCAATATTGACACCTGTTCACTGCAGACATTATTGACACATGTATACTGCAGACAATATTTACACCTGTATACCTCAAGCAATATTTACACCTGTATACTTCAAGCAATATTGACACCTGTATACTACAGGCAATAATGACACCTGTATACTACAGGCAATAATGACACCTGTATACTACAGGCAATATTGACCCATGTATACTGCAGACAATATTGACACCTGTAAACTGTAGACAATATTGACAAATGTAAACTGCAGGCAATAATGGCACCTGTAAACTGCAGACAATATTGACCCATGTATACTGTAGACAATATTGGCACCTGTATACTGCAGACAGTATAGACCCCTCTTCATCGTAGACAGTATAGATCCCTCTACACTATAGACAACATTGACCCCTGTATACTGTAGACAATATTGACACCTGTCAACAGCAGACAATATTGACACCTGTACACTGCAGACAATATTGACCCATGTATACTGCAGACAATATTGACACCTATATACTGCAGACAATATTGACACCTGTATACCTCAGACAATATTGACACATGTATACTGCAGACAGCATTGGCCCCTCTACACCGTAGACAGTATCGATCCATCTACACCGTAGACAATATTGACCCATGTATACCACAGGCAATATTGATACCTGTTCACTGCAGACGATATTGACACATGTTTACTGCAGACAATATTGACACCTGTATACTTCAAGCAATAATGACACCTGTATACCGCAGGCAATAAAGACACCCCTATACTGCAGACAAAATATTGACCCATGTATACTGCAGACAATAATTACACCTGTATACTGTAGACAATATTGACAAATGTAAACTGCAAGCAATAATGACACCTGTAAACTGCAAAAAATATTGACCCATGTATACCGCAGACAATATTGACACCTGTATACTGTAGACAATATTGACAACTGTATACTGCATACAATATGACACCTGTATACTGCAGACAATATTGACACCTATAAAATGTAGACAATATTGACTCCTGTGTTCTGCAGACAATATTGACACCGGTATACTGTATACAATATCGGCACCTGCATACTGTAGACAATATCAGCCTGGAGTTTCATCACGTCGATGACATGAATCTCCGAGTGACTAAGTTAAACCACATTCACTCACTCACTCACTGATTTCCAGCATGACACAGGTCGTAAACCTTATCCACCTTGGTTGAAATCTTCCTGCTGGTGATTCCTGGTTGGGCTGACAGCAGTCACGGTCAAACTATTAATCCATGATAGGGTAACAAAGTTTGGGCAGTCGTGTTCACTCTTGTAACATGTTGTAATAAAACAACAGTTTACATGTTAACGATCATCACGTTTTGAAGAAAGAAAGATATGCTGCATGTTGTTAGGCTCTATAAATCAGTACGCAGTCTTGTCTGATGGTGCATTGTGATATATTTATGTCGCGGTTTGCGCTGATGTAAAGTAATGTTTTCAGGACCCTGGTTTGGACAATAAAGCATTCCAGGCTGACACCAATGGCTCCCGAAACCACGAGGTCACACCTAAGCAAGAGAAGGATGGGTTTCAGAATGTCGGTTTCTCCAGATCGGCTGATGACGTATTCGTGTCCATCCCACCGTCGAAGGAGGTAACGACGAAGCCGGCAAAGGTGAGCCATGATAAAATACAACCGATTTCACTGGATTCATTCCGTGTAACAACATTGTACAGCATATCTCTATATGGGAGCCTTGATAGGATCATGTGCGGATTTTACAGTTTCTTCTCCTTCGTTATTTTCAAAATCATAAACAGTACAAAAATATACTGTGACGAAAACGGAAAACTATGAAAAACGGATATCCCTGCTGAACATTTTTCTCTATATATATCCACCTGTTAACATGTTGACGGGGCGGTTATTTCTCTCCGCGTGTTGCAGTTCATGAATTCATTTACTACGAGATAGGTTTGTTTAAAAATATATTTCGAGTCCACTCAAAAAATAGATTTGAATCAAAACTGCCATGACTACTGTCTATTTCGGCATGCGGTATTGTAGTTTGGTCAGAGTCCCCCCTTATACTGGGAATATCGCAAGGGACATTCTTGTTATCTCAACCTAATTACTATTTGTTAACACTTTGAAATATATCATTGATTCTCCATTGAATCAAACTTACTATTTGTTAATACTTTGAAATATATCATTAATTCTCCATTTAATCAGCCTTACTATTTGTTAATACTGTGAAAGATATCATTAATTCTTCATTGAATCTGATAAACAAATTGATGTCATGCATACAGATATGATTTTCCATCAACTGTTTCTGTATTATTTATGCTTAATGAAACTGCATGTGTGTTACTGTCGGTAACAGTTGTCTCACGGAGATCAAACGTTATCTTGTCTTCAAAATGTTACGTCAGTCAAGGTTTAATGTCTTAAATATGCCCTGAAGTTTAGATGAAATCTCTGGGGTAGATTGCTAACAGGTTTTGTTTTTTTCCCCATATTTTTACTTTGTTGTTCAAGGAATGTGGCGGTCGGTATTTGCCGGTGACAGTAACTTTCTTGTGTCACAAACAATGTGTTGGGGAATGATATAGTGTACATCACCTGTAATAACGCACGGGTCTAATCCTCGTGTTTCAGCCTTACAGGGGCGAGGAGGAGAACATGTACCGGTACGGATGGCGCGGCTTTAAACCAAGGTAAGTAGTCAACACACTATAACCTGTTTATCAGGTACTTTGTGATTTCCGATATAGAGCATGCTGTAACATTGTTGAACTTTTAATATCGCTCGTGAAGCCGTTGATCTGTAAGATCTAGACCAGAAGAGGGAGACGGCACATGATGATTCACGTATATTTGTTTGTTGTTTAAACTTTGACTGGACAATGTGACAATTCAACCAAACATATCTCATAGTACACAAGGGATATTCGACTACATATACCACTAACCGTGTCTCTCAGCACAGAACAATGCACTGCAAACATCATCTTCATCATCATTAACATACATATAGCCGAATGCCCACACTGATGAATGGTCGCAGGTATACATTATACCCTCGAATACTGGATCGGTATTTATAAAGAGGCAAAAGAGACACCACATATAACATGTGTTTCAGTGTGGAGCAGGACCATGAAAACTCTTAGGAGTCAGGACTACCGATCACACCACCCATTCACCTACTCTGCCGCAACCAATGCTGGTCAACATGATCTGTGGCCACCAGAGATAGGACATCGAGCAACTAACGATGCCTCTAATCACACAAATATGTTACACATGTCACGAATCCTGTCTCTGTTTCTGAAATATGACACGCCTCAAAGTTACTTCGATTGACGAATAATAGATTTGCTCAAACCAATACATGTTTATGAAAATACAAAGGTGTTCAAAGGTGTATCGATACACTGAGTATGCCGTGTCTAGTCTATTTTCTTCTTTAGTTTCTTACAGAAATTCAACAAAATCGGAGTGTTTGTGTTCTGTGCTCTAGTCCTCTGTGTCACCGAAGGATTCACCGTGAACGGGATAGCCAGTGCAGCTCTACCCCATCTGGAGAAACAGTTCGGCCTTGAAAGCTCCAAATCTGCTCTGATCACGAGTTCACAGGACATAGGAGCCCTGGCTGTTGTCCTGTTCGTCAGCTTCATTGGAGGCCGGTACAACAAGGCGGCCTGGGTTGCCGCTGGCTCTCTCATCAGTGCTGTCGGGTCTCTCGTGTTTATGGTTCCTCATATGGCCACAAATGCCCCCCTCAAGTGTGAGTCGTTTGCTTGGTGTTCCGTTGGAGGGTTTATTGTTAGTTTACGTACTCTTCAAGAAACAAACGTTTTGTTCCCACACTCAACCGTAACATTATATATAAAACATAAATATCTCCTCAGTGTCAATATTTTCAGTGTCGGAGGACAGAAAGAACGAATCTTAGCAGTATGATTAGCCAACAATCTCATTAGAATCAGAAGTTATTCTCGCTATCGCTAAGCAAAGATCTGAAGACATCTCACGGGTCACGTCAAATCAACCTCCGAACTGTGAAGTGACTAACAGGAAGTCGACAATTGTCACCCTGAAAGCAGCATTCAGGAGCTAGTTTCAGATTGGCGACTTCTATTCAAGAATACCTTTCAAAGTATTTGAGAACAATTTCGATTCTGAATTTGAAAATTGAACGAAAGAACATTCTTGAATGGTTAAAAGATGATGTGGATCGCATGAGAGTACTTTCCATAGTCACTTCCGTTTCAAATAACTGTCCCATTGACGTGAGCGGATTTACCCGTAGAGCCTGGATCCGTCGTTTTTTAATTCAACGTATTAATAATTTCGATGTTACATGGTAAAAAAATACAATCCTGATGATTTGATGGGTTTGATGAAAGGTTTTGAAATGACCCGTAAAACGGGAGTCTCAGGTCTTAGTTCAGCGGTAGCGGGAATTGAGATCTTATTTAATGTTGGATTAACGCGTGGCTTCTAAATTGCAGGGAACAATTTCAACAATCATATTTAATGTTTTTTTCATCAGCTTCTTCCGGTAGTTCGTCTGTGTCAGCGATATGCAATCTCCAGAATTCGACTTCCGGTTCCGGTCCTACGTCTGGTGACGGTAGTGGGCTGTCCCATTATCTGGGGGTGTTCATGATCGCTCAGATGATTCACGGGGTAGGCTTCACTCCTATGTTATCGCTTGGAACAGCCTATATTGATGAGAACGCGGAACCTGCAAAAGCAGCTGTATACGTTGGTAAGTCTCCAAGCAACCGAAATTCTGTCACTGACTCGATTTAGATACATCTCAGTATTTCGATTATATCGCTGCATGTCAGCTTAAGGTGGAAGGCTTCAGGTCAAACTCGTTTACTAATTTGGTGGAACCCAACCCTACCTGTCTTGCTGCAAAACCAATAGTCATATTCAGGGAAATAACTATTAATGTTGAATGTGTGATGGGTATTATTACCTTGACAACAGCAATTATTTATTTCCATGTTTAGTTGTTTATATCGTGACCGCAGTGTCCAGAGGTTAGACTTGCTTGCGCAGTAAATGTGTTTGTTCGTCTGTTTGTTGTTTAACCCCGCACTCAGCAATATTCCAGCTGTATGACATTATCTGTAAATAATCCAGTCTGGACCAGACAATCCAGTAACCAGCAGCATGAACATCTATCTACCAACTGGGATGCGATGACATGTGTCAACCAACACAGCGAACCTGACCACCTGATACCATAAGTCACCACTTACAACAAGAATGGGTTGGTGTGGAGACTAATTAATATTCTATCCCTGAACCTCACGGGTCAATAAATAATGCGCTTGATGGGTTACAAGTATCTATATTATTGATATCTTCATAGGTTCCAGTATTCAAAAAATGAGCGGATAGCCAAGATGATTTTGAATTATTTATGTATACTTGGGAGGATTATTAGCACCAGTTGTTAAAAATGAAATACAATATTCATGTGACGTCACTACACGTCTGCAGGTTTGACGTATGGTGCAGCTGCTGTTGGGGTCGCGATAGGCTTTTTCGCTGGAGGCCAGTTAACGGAGAAGTTTTACGTGGATTTTGATCGGATGGATCAGACAAGGTATGGAGATCAGTGAGACTAGGTCTAGACATTGTGATCAGTGAGATGTTGAGACAAGTCCCTGTGCAATAAGGGTCAATCAGTTAAATTGCAACTGCTGAATTTGTACATTAACGGGCGCTAATTGCAAGTCTGTCTCTCGTTGTGTTTTGAGAATGAATAGCGACCCAGCCACAATAACAACCTGTTGCAGAGTAAGAAAGAATCATCTTGACAAATACGTTATGCAAATTGCAGAAATTCTGCAAACAACAATCAATGTTGCCATTCAGATGACTTCACCACATGTACAACAGGCTTGTATGTATGTTGCCATTCAGATGTCTTCACCACTTGTACAACAGGCTTGTATGTATGTTGCCATTCAGATGACTTCACCACATGTACAACAGGCTTGTATGTATGTTGCCATTCAGATGACTTCACCACATGTACAACAGGCTTGTATGTATGTTGCCATTCAGATGACTTCACCACTTGTACAACAGGCTTGTATGTATGTTGCCATTCAGATGACTTCACCACTTGTACGACAGGCTTGTATGTATGTTGCCATTCAGATGACTTCACCACATGTACGACAGGCTTGTATGTATGATACCATTCAGATAACTTCACCACATGTACGACAGGCTTGTATGTATGTTGCTTCTGTTCGCTTGAATGTATTGCGTGTACGTTATTGTATGGTTGTTGTCTGTTACAAGAAGCTTCTTTAGGATCTGTTTGTTTTAGTTTAGATTTTGGACCCCGCGACCCCCGCTGGATTGGAGGATGGTGGATCGGGTTTATAATATCGGTGTTGCTGTTTGCTTCGGCATCACTCCCGTTGTTTGGCTTCCCGAGGGCTATACCCGGTACGATATGGAAGTAGGGCATGGAGGTTTCCTCCAATGCATTCAGTGAGCAAGGTGGAATTTGTTTCAGTTGTATCGTTACGTGTCGATTTCCCAGTTGAAACAATAAGCCAGAAATCTACCCACAAAAGATTTCAGCGTTTTCCAACAAATACCCAGAAATGTTTTACAATTAACAGTTGCATCCTAAAATAAACTCTGTTTACAAATCAATACAAATAACTGTAAAGTAATTAAACTGGCAGTGCACATTTCAATTACAACAGCATTACAGAATACGATATCAGTGATAATAGAAAGGAGGTCAGTGGAGAGATAATTCATCTCGTAGCAACAGTTTCCATGCAGTAGCCATGTAGTCCAGATGTCCTGGGTGAAACCACAACCTTTACACTGGTTGTGAAGTATTGTGAGATGATCGCGACATGTGCTTGTCCACATAGATAGTCTAAACATCTTCCAGAATTGCCATACCCTGGAAGAATATTCACCTCGTCCGGAAAATTCTGCATAACACCTGACTATGAAAGCAAGACAATATAGTCACGCTAGTGTTTCTTAGATAGTAATATATTCATGACAACTATTTTTTCTTGTTATGAACGTTTATCGAATCTTAAAAGAAATAAGGTGGTACAACTGCAGAAACAATATATTCCAATGCCCTTGTAACAATATTGAATAGTCATCCATTTGAGGCTATTCGTTCTATTTATCCGTCCTCTGTGGATTGTCTGCTGTAAACTCGTGATAGACCTTCGTCAGATGTTCAAACCTTCTGATCACAGGGAGTGAAAAGCACCGCCGTGAACTGGAAGAAGACGTGAATGACCAGGAGAAGAGGTCAGTCCTTACTGTGATCAAAGACACCGTCGTAGATTTCTTTAAAGCTGTTTTGAAATTTGTAAGTATAACCAGTCACAAATGTTGCTTTTTAATTTTATTAAAGTGTTTTTATTTTATCAATTGAAATTGACATCACTCTTCATAAGTTTTACATGACCTCACTAGCAAGACAATGTACATCCTCACAAGTTTCACGTTTTCACGTAACACTGACATGCATGTGTATGTACACACGTCTCAACTTTGCATAATATTACTGTTAAAATGAACACCAATCTCGATTGTCTGGCAATATTGTTAGCTAACACCTGCACTTACACTTTCTCTACCCCGTGTGCAGGAGGTGCGGGTGAGTCTCCGTAATACCTACCCATCAAGATCCGGGTTACAATTGGTCTTCCGCAACTAATGCTTGTCATAAGAGGCGACTAACGGGATCGGGTGGTCAGGCTCACTGACTTGGTTGACACATGTCATCGTATCGCAATTAGTTAGATGGATGCTCATGCTGTTGATCACTGGATTGTCTTATGAAGAGTGAAGCTAATTACAGATGGCCGCGATATAGCTGGAATATTGCCGAGTGCGGCGTAAAACTAAACTCATACACACTCATTCACCTACTCATCAATATCTGGGTTACAATTGGTCTTCCGCAACTAATGCGTGTCATAGAAGGCGACTAACGGGATCGGTGGTCAGGCTTGCTAGACTAGTTGATACATGTCGCAGTATCACCATTGCGTAGATACAGGCCCATGATGGCAACTACTGCGTTGCTTGGTCCAGACTCGATTTTCATACAGAGGGTGACAGTATGAACACTGACCCACGCCAGCAGATACGGAGTAGTCGGCGTGAGAAGCACGGGTAGTTGGCCTACCTGTCAACACATACCATCCAAATTCTCACATCACATGTTAGCATACGTGAACATTATAACATACAGTCTTGCTGAGTTGCAGATCCCCTATGTTTCAGTTGGGTAACGTGGAGTTAATCTTTCTCAGCCTTGGGGGAGCTGCCGAGGCGCTGATTATCCTCGGAGTAGGGGCGTTTGCCTTCAAATACCTGGCTGAAATGTACGACATGCCCTTTGATCAAGCCGGCTACCTGTTAGGTGAGTTAGTGATTTTGTCTTTGATGTTGAGAAAGAGGACAAGTTTGTCTAAGATGTTTAAATGTGTATTTCTGTTTAATATTATATACGTATGTGAAAATGAAACACTTAAGTGGAGGAATGCTAATGTATATGTGTTAAGTTGAAATGCAGTTATTACTCAGGAGCGTCCATGAGAGTAGTTAACAGAAGCGATTGTACAATGTGACGGTTAAACGAAGTATGTGTGCATGACTCGAACAAAATATGTATTCCGAGATCGACTGCTGTCTGTGTTGAATTATAGCATGTGTAACGTGGAAATCTTAGATCGAGACTGGCTTTGAGACCATGGTCTACCTTACCACTTTTTTTCCAAAGCAGAGACGTTTAAGGAATTCGAGCTTACACCGTTTTTATGTAAATCTTTTTCCCCTGTGGATTTTTAGCAAAACCGCTATCACTAGAGGCCGAAATTTGAGTCCAGTTTACACAGAGACCAGAAATAGTGAGTGAGTTTAGTTTTACACCGCATTCAGCAGTATTCCAGCTATATGGCGGCGGTCTGTCAATAATTGAGTCTGGACCAGACAATTTCTAACCCTGTAAATGCTTGACAGATATGTTCTAGTTGCTAGGTAGCTCGGTAGGTAAACACAGTTACCACATACGTAGCGACTTGTTGCAAATCAACTCGTGAATGTGTGTTTCCAGTTTACTGTATTGTCGATAGTGTCGGAGAATACAGCGAGTTACAGAAGTGAGAGCGGATGTCGTTTTAGAGAAACACAAAAAGACATGTAGAGACACATTCGTCCATGAAAATTACATTTGTTTTCAATATTTCACAGGTATATAAAACAAATGTACATCTGTACAGCGTTCTTCAGGCCCTCTTCATCCATTGAAAGATTTTACGGTTGCTTCAAACTGTTCCCGATGTTCACTCTGCCTGAACACATACATGTGTACTGTGTTGTAGGAGGGCTAATATTGTTCAGTTCTTTTGGTATGGTGCTTGGTGGGATCCTCATTCGGGTGTTCCACCTTGAGGGGCTGGGAATGGCGAGACTGAATATGGGCCTGTGTGTTCTGTCCAGTGTCCTGGGATTCGCACTGCTAGCCAAGTGCCCCAATGTCCGACTTGCAGGAATGGAAATACCTTACCCGGGCGAGAGGTGAGTCTTTCTGTTATATACAGGAAATGTCCACTTAACAGAATCACATAACAGAAGTGTGATGAATAATTCATAAGATTGGTGTGGTATTTTTAGAACACGAATAGTTTTTTAAACTACTAAGATTGTGATTAAAGTTAAAATAACCTGGATCTTCTAAGGATTCGTTGGAAAAAATATTAGGTTTAGGCCTGGCAAATATTTTCACAAAAGAAATAAGTTTAGCTTTTATTTTTAAATCTGAAACACTATCACTATCATGATAACACTATCAAGAGTTGTGTTTTTCAGTTACTGTAAGTGTTAAACATTCATCATCATACTCGGTATGTTACTGTCGCACAACTGCTTGTAAACACGTATTTACTACACGAATTCTATGATATACATTCAGTTCTGTGGATACCAACACCGCATCGTGTCAAGGGTCATGCGACTGCTCGAGGCAAGCGTTCAACCCCGTGTGCGGCGCCGACGATATCGTGTACTACTCTCCGTGTCACGCCGGCTGTATGAACCAGAACACCCTCGGACCATTAGCTGTGAGAATGTGCAGACTCAGCTTAAATAACTCTGAAAACATCCCATTTACTTATATTATAATACAACCAAGAGTACAGTGGTGTTTTGTTTACGGATGCCAAAAATCTACTCTTATTTTGCTGAGAATATAATTGTTTGCCACCTTTGCTTAATGATGCATTCTGGTTCAGAATAAAGCTGATTTGAGGTGTTCGGTCTTTCAGCTAAACTGGAAACAATGAACCAGTGAAACATTGAATCAGTGAGTGTGAGAGTGAGTTTTACGCCGCTTTTAGCAATATTCCAGCAATATCACCGCGGGTGACACCAGGAATGGGCTCCACACATTGTACCCATGCTGGGAATCGACCCCGGGCCTTAGGCGTGACGAGCGAACGTTTTAACCAGTAGGTTACCCCACCGCCCCATTGAATCAGTAAACTATAGAACATGATTCAGTGTAACAGCAGATCTTGTTACCCGAAACTAAAAAATAGTTATGATTAACGATTCACTCACGACTCTCCAGAAGTAAACGTTGTTTGGGTTTTCAATTTAACATCAAAATGACCACCCTTCATTTTCAGACCTACGGCAACTGCAGTTGCGTGGAACGTAGTATGAGCAATACTACCAATGACGTCATTTCCACTGCCGTAAAGGGGCGGTGTGATATTGACTGCAACAACCTGTACGTCTTAGCGCCTCTCCTTTTCCTTATGCTTCTATCGGTGTTAACAACAACAACACCCGTTTCCATGGCAACACTCAGGTGAGTTTCCTTCAACATGTAGATTTCAACATTGAAATTGTTGGAATCAGTACATGTCTATAAAGTGTAGTTATATCGACAAAAGGGTGAACTAAGTGTACACTTGTGTACTGGATATACGTGCTGACGGATTATAACACGAAACTGTTTGAAGCATTGCACCAACACGGCGGCATAGGCTACTATTTGTTCATAAGATTAAATCTAGTAAAACAACTTCTAGTTTTTTTAATCAACACTGGCATATATAAAACAACAATAACAAAACAGATTACTGATCATACATGAAACTGAGTATTGTTATATAAATATGTATTGTCTCGACTGAACGTTTACACTCTCTCTTCCTAGATGCGTCGATCCACAACTGAAGCCATTCGCACTGGGATTCCAGTGGATGCTGATGAGATTACTTGGTAAGACTTTGCGCCCTATGTAATGAACATTTCATACCTAATTTCAAATCTTCATCAGACAAGTCATCCTCTGTATCTCTATACATGTATATAGATATGTAGATATATCAGTAAACCTACACTATCCCCTGAAACCAATGTCTTGGTTCTGGCAATCTCAAATTACCCGTCCTTGATTCACAATTTGACTGGCTACACAACTGAGTTTTACGTACCAATCACAGAGCGACTTACAAACCTACCTCGATGTTTGGTTGGCAATATCAACAACTTGGCGTCGAAAAACCCTAACGGACGCGCAGAAACAGCGCTAAAAGCCTTTTGGGTGGACAATGTAATAGTAATACAATTCGGAAGTCACTCGTTGAATAAATGTACATGTCCTCCCCAACAGGGTCCATCCCAGGCCCGGTGCTCATTGGCTACGTCCTGGATTCCTCCTGTGAAATATGGAGCCCCCCTTCATCAGATGGGACCCGGTTCTGCATGCTGTACAACAAGCACAGGATGTCCATAGGCGTGTTCACGTGGTGGATTGTTGTCAACATCATTGCGGGAGTTTGCTTTTTGATAGCTTCCATTGCCAACGCACGAAAGAGGAAGTCGATAGACCTGCGGAGCTAATAGCAACTGTTGTGTTCTTCATGTTCTTACTTTTCATTGAATTTCCCTCCTATTTGGGTTCAAAGGAGTGTTCTGCGTTAACTGTAGACGATGATCAGTGGTTGGTTTCCATGGTTACATATCGTTTGTACAGAGATTAAATACATGTATAGAGTCCCGAGGAAACATGCATTTGATTGGTCAGACAATTATTACATGTGGAACATTTATATTTTTAACGGGGGTAATATTCAATACCCATGAACTTTGGTTAATGCTGCAAAACATGAGCACTTGAATTGATAACCCATTGCTGGTTGTCAGGTCTAAGGTGTAGAAAATAATTGTGTTACTTACTATCATTCACTCAAAACAAACATCCTGAATCCCGAGAGCTTCGTGACTAGTGAAAACGTCTGGATAAATGAATATACGTGTTATTGTCCCTTGTATACTTTACAACCCCTTACACAAGTTTACCACGTTATTGATTGTCTTCAGTATTGACAAGAGTAAACATCAGTTAACGTTCTACACATCAACAAATGACACGTACTGTCATACTTGCAATACTGTTCAATACTGCCTGAATGTATCTCCACAACACTACTGAATGGTGCTATCTGCCTTCCATTACTGAAACACAATGATTTGTGTAAACGTTGTATAGAGCCCTAGTCTTCACTGCACAAAGGATAGACTGGCGCTGTTTGTTTATAGACTGCTGGATGGTGACCCTCAGCTTGTGGTTACAGAAGGCCCTGAACACATCAGTATCATCTGACGTTTACACATTTTGTTATATATATATTTTTTAATGATTTTGTTCTATGAACTATGTAATCTTTGATGTATATCTGACAAGTTAATAAAATGTTTGTTGGATATTGTATTATCCAAGCAGTGTTTCATATTTTATGAGGGAATTGCGTGCCTAGGCCTGTCCGGAACACTACATGTTACATTCGCCCATATCTGTAGGTTTGTCATCATCAGGGCGGCTGCCAAAATGATCTTCTGAGTCCTCGTTACTAAGTAGCTGTCGAGTTTGCTTTGCAAACCTTCCCTATATACTGAAGCCTCTATGTGGGGGTATATTTTGTCATGATATGCTATTACCTCTGTAGGTAATTATGACATGCAAATGCACTTCTGCAGAATCAACCAAGGGCATCTAAACAGTACCATGATCGTAAGAAGGAAGTAAGAAAGAACCTCCGACCCTCTTAGTCGCCCCTTACGACAAACATTGGTTTCCGAAGACCAGTTCCAATACGGTGGGTCAACCTCCAACAACACCTGTGACGTACGGGAAGACCAGTTCCAGTATGGTGGGTCAACCTTCAACAACACCTGTGACGTACGGGAAGACCAGTTCCAACATGGTGGGTCAACCTTCAACAACACCTGTGACGTACGGGAAGACCAGTTCCAACATGGTGGGTCAACCTTCAACAACACCTGTGACGTACGGGAAGACCAGTTCCAACATGGTGGGTCAACCTTCAACAACACCTGTGACGTACGGGAACAGTTCCCAGTCAACCTTCAACAACATGGTACGGGAAGACCAGTTCCAACATGGTGGGTCAACCTTCAACAACACCTGTGACGTACGGGAACACCAGTTCTAACATGGTGGGTCAACCTTCAACAACACCTGTGACGTACGGGAAGACCAGTTCTAACATGGTGGGTCAACCTTCAACATAACTGTGACGTACGGGAAAACCAGTCTCAACATGGTGGGTCAACCTTCAACAACACCTGTGACGTGCGGGAACACCAGTTCTAACATGGTGGGTCAACCTTCAACATAACTGTGACGTACGGGAAAACCAGTCTCAACATGGTGGGTCAACCTTCAACAACACCTGTGACGTACGGGAACACCAGTTCTAACATGGTGGGTCAACCTTCAGCATAACTGTGACGTACGGGAAAACCAGTCTCAACATGGTGGGTCAACCTTCAACAACGCTGTGACGTACGGGAACACCAGTTCCAACATGGTGGGTCAACCTTCAGCATAACTGTGACGTATGGGAAAACCAGTCTCAACATGGTGGGTCAACCTTCGACAACACCTGTGACGTACGGGAACACCAGTTCTAACATGGTGGGTCAACCTTCAACAACGCTGTGACGTACGGGAAGACCAGTTCCAACATGGTGGGTCAACCTTCAACAACACCTGTGACGTACGGGAACACCAGTTCTAACATAGTGATCAACCTTCAACAACGCTGTGACGTACGGGAAAACCAGTTCCAATAACGTGGGTCAACCTTCACGTACGGGAAGACCAGTTCTAATAGGGTGGGTCAACCTTCACGTGCGGGAAGACCAGTTCTAACACGGTGGGTCAACCTTCAACAACACCTGTGAAGCTTGGAATTAGTATCTCACTACCTATCTCTCCAACTGTGGGGTACAATGTGTGACGCGACGCATTACTGATTGAAAAGGCATGTGTGATACCGTGATACTGCAAGGAAGAGTCAAACTATTATGTGAGGTGCCATATACCGTCATACCGCACTAGAGGATGCTTTAGAGAGTCATGCGATGTGACAGGGTGCAACAAAATACAATGTCAGGGCTGTTCCAGAGTGTCATACAATGTCATGGTGCCACAGAGTCATGCTATATAGGAAGGTGCTATTAGAAGGTGATATTATGTGTACATACAGATTTTATTACAGGTCTTGCAAACGTTTGTGTACATATCCGTTGACAACAAAACAACGCCATCTACAGTCTATTTGTCTACAAATGATAAACCGGGACAGCATTCTCCCGTCTCTGAAACAACAACCTACATTTTACATAGCATGAGATGACTGAACATTAAGAGTAGCCTCCGTAGACTGACTCCCGGTACAACAAGGCTAACCTTTGCAATGGCAAGCTCGGAAAAGGTATGTCTTTGTACAAAGCTCGCAATTAAAAGGTCAAGGGCTGTAGATGGGAAGAGGTATGTCTTTGTACAATTTTGACTTGGCATTTGTCTGCAATTAACATTGAAATGCATCAGTATATATGTGAGTGAATAGTGTCAGCGGGATGGAGAGTAAGATCCTCCATGTAAACTGTGAGACGCTGAAAGCCAGTGAGTGAGAGGTGTTTCCTGCCCCTCCGTGTAAACTGTGAGACGCTGAAAGCCAGTGAGTGAGAGGTGTTTCCTGCCCCTCCATGTAAACTGTGAGACGCTGAAAGCCAGTGAGTGAGAGGTGTTTCCTGCCCCTCCATGTAAACTGTGAGACGCTGAAAGCCAGTGAGTGAGAGGTGATTCCTGCCCCTCCATGTAAACTGTGAAACGCTGAAAGCCAGTGAGTGAGAGGTGTTTCTGTCTGCAATTAACTCCATGTAAACTGTGAGACGCTGTGAGACGCTGAAAGCCAGTGAGTGAGAGAGCCAGTGTATCCTGCCGCTTCTGAATATCCCAGTTACATGCATATTTGGATTCCTGCCCCTTTATCAGCAATATGTTGTAATAAAGGCAATATGTTGTAATAAAGACAAGGAGATTAGATGTAGGTGTGTAGCCAGTTGTAGTTCACCTTTGATGAAACATGCGGCCACAAACTGGAGCTGATGGTGTCATTACCTTGTCAGTTGTTAGCAAAGAGGAAGTAATCAATGTTCGTTGGTCTGGATGAACATATAATGACGTATTTTCATAATACCTACATGCGTGCATGTGTGTGTGTGTCGCTTCATATAGGTGGAAGATCGCTAGTGCTCATTGCTTTATGTTGATAATTCTATCTCCACCCTCACCTCATTCTCAACTGTTTTTGGGGACACAATTCTGATAATAAATATATTTGTCTCTACCAACTGAGCCCAATGACTTCAAAAACAGATGGGAATCAAGGCATATTTGATATTTAGTTCCTTGCAGCCCAAAATTAACTAACATCACTCTAACCCGCGATGACGTCAGAGATATTTTAATGTCACTGGACACATCAAAAGCGACCGGTCCGGATGGGATAGGAAATAAAGTACTTAGATATACCGCAAATAGTCTAACATCCATACTTACGAAATTATTCAATTTGTCCCTTAGCCTGTCAATTTTTCCCAGTCCATGGAAAGAAGCATCGGTAATACCTATTCACAAGAAAGATAGCGTACATGACTGTTCTAACTACCGTCCTGTCGCACTCACATCTTGTTTATCGAAAGTCTTTGAGAAATGTGTATTTAAATATGTATTCAATTTCCTAAGAGATAACGACTTAATGACAAATTTACAATCAGGATTCATGCCAGGAGACTCCACAACAAATCAATTAACCTTTTTGTACAACTTTATTGCCAAAGCTCTTGACGAAGGAAAAGAGGTTAGAGCATCTTCTGCGACATAAGTAAAGCCTTCGATAAGGTCTGGCATAGAGGAATTATTTATAAACTGAAAACCTATGGTATCCAAGGCGAACTATTACAATGGTTTGAAAGTTATTTAGAAAATAGAGTACAACGGGTCGCAAGGCTCTGTCCTTGGACCACTTCTTTTTCTGATATACATCAATGATATTGTATGTGATGTTGACAGTAACATTCGTCTCTTTGCGGATGACACCTCATTATATGTTATCATAGATGATCCATCAGCTGCTGCTACCTGTCTTAACAAAGATCTAGATAGAATTTCACAATGGGCCCGTAAGTGGCAGGTTACATTTCATCCAAATAAAACCGAAACTACTCAGTTCTGACGTAAAACGAAACCGTCTCTAAAACCGAACCTATTCATGGACGGAACAATCATAAAAGAAGTCAAAAGTCATAAACATTTAGGATTAACACTCCAAAGCGATTGTACGTGGAATGATCACACTAATGATATTGTACGTAAAGTTCGCCCTATGATCAGTTGTCTGAGGAGTTTTAAATACCGATTATCACGTTAAACGTTGGATATTATGTATAAATCCTATATCTTGCCAATATTTGACTATTGTTCGCATATTTGAGATAGCTGTACTTCTGAGCAATCGCGTACATTAGAAAATTTACATCTTGATGCTCTGAGAACTATATGTGGTGCCGTTCGTGGCACAAGTCATAACAGTCCTCCTGAGAGGGTACGTAAGTCCAAAAACATTTCAAGTACATTTAAGTATACCAGGTTTTTAATCGTAGTATTTTTGTTATTTTACTATATGGCTAATTTTCGGTATAAACGCCAATGGCTGAAGGTATGGTGTAAATCCAGCTAGGGTCCATGCAGGTAGCAAAGGTAATGTAAGTCCCCATGGTTCCTAGTATGGTGATCTACCTTCAGTTGTTGGCGATCTATAGCCCATTTTGTCTTCTTTAATTGGAATATTTTAGCTTTGTTCGCTAGTTTTATATTCGTATCTGTGATCATCTAGTATTTTTACTGTCCTTCGTCGGCAGGTGTTTTATAATATACAAATATTTCATTTCAATATCAAATGTTCTCGTCACGATATGGCTGAAATATTGCCGATGTGACGTTAAATATTAACTCACTCACTCACTCACTCACTCACAAGTCATAACAAACTTTATAATGAAACCAAATCTCAGTCCATGCAAGATAGAAGGAATTGCCTGAAGTTAACTTTTTTCTATAAGATGTACAACAACCAATTGCCAAACTATCTTAATTTGTGACCTGATCCCAAACTCCGTCTCCGGAACTACAAACTACAGCTTGAGGAATAACTCTGAAATACAAGGAATTTACAGTCGCACTGCCTCTTATGCTAAATCCTTTTTACCTGCCACAATAAATTTATGGAATGCCCTACCAAATTCCAAAGCGTCATGTAATCTCACAGAATTTAAAAACCTAATTACAAAAACTGAAAATAAGATTTACTTTGACCTTAATTATGGCACTCGTTTTTGCCAAATCGTTCACTGCCGCCTCAGGCTCGGATGTAGCGACCTAAACGCCGATAAGTATAACAGACATTTAATAGACAGCCCTTGTTCTTCTTGTGGACATCAGAGTGAAAACGCCCTACACTATTTCCTCACTTGCCGTAACTATACTCGGATAAGACTTAATATGTATTTTTACACTACCGGTTATAACCTGGATACCATTCTTAAGGGAAACAAAGAACTTACTCCCTGTGTAAACCAGAAAATAGTTGAATCCGTCCACGATTATATAACCAAGACACAACGCTTTAAATTTTCTCAGGAAAATAATTAAATTTGCTCAACAACCTTCTCATGATTGATTTATAGTTCTACAATGGCTTGTGAGACACACACAACTGTAACTCTCTAACTTATGACTACTTAGAGAATAGTTGTATTTCATGTAATCTGTATATATTTATACATTCTAAAAATATTATATTTATTCAATGGTCAGTATGGATGACGTCAAATCCTCCATTTTCATGTTGTATTATATGTTGCATGGGAGCCGTGTTAATATAAGCAGTAATGCTTGTTCACCAATCCCAATTCATCTTCATGAATAAAAATATGTTTAAATCAATAAGTTCAAAAGATATCAACATCTTCAAAAACAATCTTCTTTTTTACTTAATTTGGAAAAGAACAAATAATCAATGTTTTTTGGTCATGCTATCAATACTTGACCAGGCCGAAGAAGAGGACAGAACAGGGAACACCACCAAAGCCAAAACCGAACAGGTTCAACGGGTAAGTTCTAAAGTACTGTACAGTGAAGCATGAGTAATTTGAAGGTATCGACCGAAATTGGTTAAATACTGCAAATCACGAAATCAAATTAGAAAATATCTGTAAATGTATCTGACCTATATCTATTAAATTGAGGACATTAATGAATTGTCGCACTTCAGGAAAAAAAACAAGCAAAAGGTGAGAAACTTAACCAAGACATTAAGACATATGGAACATTTGTCTCGTTGTGAAATACATTTATGTTTTTTTACCAAGGGCTACAAGGTCAAAGTATGTCGCATTGTCAAATCTATCAAAATGCAATCGCAATGTATCAAAATGCTTAAAAACGGCGTTAAGGCGAACGACAGTTTGACACTTTGATTATGCCACTTTGTCGCCCTGAGGGTATTATAATGGGCGGTATTATATAGCATGCGACAAGCTAAAGCTAGTCAAAATGTGGGTAATCTGCAATTGTAAACTAGTTCTTGTGACTATGCCATAGTATCCCTTTTAGGACACTTTAGTCTTTTGGGGTCACTGGGGTCACTGGGAGTAGGAACATGGTTAACTGTCGCACCGCCTTCTCCGGACCGTTATTGAAGGTGACAAAGCAATGCCCACCTCTCTGCCACCATATTTACCCACTCATTAGAATATTTCATCTTTATTTCATGTCTCGAGGAAGACGAATCTTGTCTGTATGGTTGGGGATCATTTAAACCAAGGTGAGAATCTCTTCAGTCCCCTGTGACTGTATTTTCAACGACAGTCTCTAAGACAAATACCATTCATATGACCCTGTGAACCCAAATCCTTCAACACACTCCGGAATTGTCTGTTCTTTCAAGCAATAACAGTTTTTGAAGACACAATCAGAACACCTTAGTGATGTAGCGTTTCTCCAACTTCACTGGAGTCTGTTCTCCAACATCACTGTAGTCTGTTCTCCAACATCACTGTAATCTGTTCTCCAACATCACTGTAATATGTTCTCCAACATCATTGTAGTCTGTTCTCTAACATAACTGTAGTCTGTCCTCCAACATCCCTGTAGTCTGTTTTCCAACATAACTGTAGTCTGTTCTCCAACATCACTGTAGTCTGTTTTCCAACATAACTGTAGTCTGTTCTCCAACATCACTGTAGTCTGTTCTCCAACATTACTGTAATCTGTTTTACAACTTCACTGTAATCTGTTCTCCAACATCCCTGTCATCTGTTCTCCAACATCACTGTAGTCTGTTCTCCAACATTACTGTAATCTGTTTTACAACTTCACTGTAATCTGTTCTCCAACATCCCTGTAATCTGTTCTCCAACCTCATTGTAGTCTGTTCTCCAACATCACTGTAGTCTGTTCTCCAACATTACTGTAATATGTTCTCCAACATCACTGTAGTCTGTTCTCCAACATCACTGTAATCTGTTCTCCAACATCACTGTAATATGTTCTCCAACATCACTGTAGTCTGTTCTCCAACATCACTGTAGTCTGTTGTACAACATCACTGTAGTCTGTTTTCCAACATAACTGTAGTCTGTTCTCCAACATCACTGTAGTCTGTTCTCCAACATCACTGTAGTCTGTTCTCCAACATCCCTGTATTCTGTTCTCCAACATCACTATAGTCTGTTCTCCAACATCCCTGTAATATGTTCTCCAACATCACTGTAGTCTGTTCTCCAACATCACTGTAGTTTGTTCTCCAACATCACTGTAGTTTGTTCTCCAACATCACTGTAATCTGTTTTACAACATCACTGTAATCTGTTCTCCAACATCACTGTAATCTGTTCTCCAACATCCCTGTAATCTGTTCTCCAACATCACTGTAGTCTGTTCTCCAACATTACTGTAATCTGTTTTACAACTTCACTGTAGTTTGTTCTCCAACATCACTGTAGTTTGTTCTCCAACATCACTGTAATCTGTTTTACAACATCACTGTAATCTGTTCTCCAACATCACTGTAGTCTGTTCTCCAACATTACTGTAATCTGTTTTACAACTTCACTGTAATCTGTTCTCCAACATCCCTGTAATCTGTTCTCCAACATCACTGTAGTCTGTTCTCCAACATTACTGTAATCTGTTTTACAACTTCACTGTAGTCTGTTCTCCAACATCACTGTAGTCTGTTCTCCAACATCACTGTAATCTGTTTTACAACTTCACTGTAATCTGTTCTCCAACATCCCTGTAATCTGTTCTCCAACATCACTGTAATCTGTTTTACAACTTCACTGTAGTCTGTTCTCCAACATCACTGTAGTCTGTTCTCCAACATCACTGTAGTTTGTTCTCCAACATCACTGTAGTCTGTTCTCCAACATCACTGTAATCTGTTTTACAACATCACTGTAATCTGTTCTCCAACATCACTGTAGTCTGTTCTCCAACATTACTGTAATCTGTTTTACAACTTCACTGTAATCTGTTCTCCAACATCACTGTAATCTGTTCTCCAACATCACTGTAGTCTGTTCTCCAACATTACTGTAATCTGTTTTACAACTTCACTGTAGTCTGTTCTCCAACATCACTGTAGTCTGTTCTCCAACATCACTGTAATCTGTTCTCCAACATCACTGTAGTTTGTTCTTCAACATCACTGTAGTCTGTTCTCCAACATCACTGTAGTCTGTTCTCCAACATCACTGTAGTTTGTTCTCCAACATCACTGTAGTTTGTTCTCCAACATCACTGTAGTTTGTTCTCCAACATCACTGTAATCTGTTTTACAACATCACTGTAGTCTGTTTTACAACATCACTGTAATCTGTTTTACAACATCACTGCAGCCTGTTCTCCAACATCACTGTAGTCTGTTCTCCAACATCACTGTAGTCTGTTCTCAAACATCCCTGTAGTCTGTTCTCAAACATTCCCACAACGCATTTAAGTTGTAGAATGAATGAATTCACGTGCTTGTTATGAATGAAAAAAAAGTTACGTCAGAATGTGACCTAAATGAGAAGTCATCGTTTATCCAATCAAATCGTTAGAATCTCAGGTCATGTCGTTACGACACAGGTCAACGCGATACGACACTCGTGTGACGTACGTGAGAACATAGGAAGGTCACGAGTTTCGTATAATTCGTTCGTAATGAGACCGAGTGTGGTATTTTATTTATTACCCACGTCTTACATGCATTAAATTGACAAAATAGCGTATTTTTTTTCTTGTTGTGGTTTCAAACCGAAACCGGTTTCATAAAGAGGTTGCGGAAGAATTTTGTTCTGAAGTACACTTTTGCATGACGTCACACTGTAATGACGTCACTACGCCATTCTCGTCTGTCCCCTTGGTAACCGACGTCACGATGCATGTCAGTTGTCATCGCCTCTCGTACAGCCTGCTACAGTAAACTACTCCGTAGCACCCCGTTTCTTGGTTTGCAGTTGATTCATTCGGCTAACATCGGAAACATTGCGTTTATGTTTTTCGACGGATATAATGTCTCAGTTCGACTCACAATTAAACAGCGACACGGCAACGTTCGCAATGTTTACATTCCCAGAATGCATCTAAGTTGTAGAATGAATGAATTCACGTGTTTGTTATGAATGAACAAGTAGGTCCGTCACAAGGTGACCTAACTGAGAGGTCATCGGTTATCCAATCAAATCGTTAGAATCTCAGGTCAAGTCGTTACGACACAGGTCAACGCGATACGACACTCGTGTGACGTACGAGATTAGTATGCAACTACCCATACGTTGACCACGTGGGTAATAAAAGCTGGTACTTGTAACTATTGTGTATCTCACTACCAGAATACGGTAGAAGCTGGTACTTGTAACTCTTGTTTATCTCAGAGCTGTGTGAAGTCCACTCTTGGAGCATACCTTTCGATCAGATATTTCTGAAATTCCATAATAGTTGTCAAATGATATTAAAGTGTGTTTGCCTTGTGTCGACGTATTCCAGATGTCTGCAGCCGATGAATACCTTGCCGTGGTTCACGGTGTGGTCGGTGATGTTAATACTGGCATGGTCGTCGTGTTCTCTAGGCCCCGGCATCCCACACATAGAGAAGCAGTTCGGGCTGACCAGCAAGATGACCGCTGTGTTGACATGCTGTCTGGACATCGGCGGGGTCAGTATAATGCTGTTTGTCAGCTTCATTGGCACCAAGTTCAACATGGCTAAAGGGCTCGCTATCGGAGCATTCGTCAACGCAATAGGAGCGTTAACATTCTGCTTACCACACTTCTTCCACGAAGCACCAAAGTTTGGTAAGTGTTATACCTTTAAGACCCCTATAGATACTTTTCCTTGGAAATGTGATATATTTGCTATGAAGTGAGAGCAGTAGGTTTACTTGTTTCGTATGTTTGGCCCTTGATCTTACAATTATGTTCCCTGGTTCAGCCAGGATCCAATGGTTGTTGTTTACAATCCAGCATTATATGCGTGTTTGTGGGTTTCAAGCATATAGTGAGCACCAAGACCTTGCACCACAAACATCTCTGTATAATTCATTATCTGTCGATTTTAATTTCTTTTTCTTGTATAGAAGAAAACGTTAAAAATGCCTCCGAAGCTGATATTTGCCCCCTGAGCGCTATCAGTGCAGCCGTCAACGACAGCTCGCCAGCCAGCGTCCTCTACACCACATACACCTTCATGGTCGTTGGCGATTTATTGAGGGGGTTTGGCACGACGGTGATCTTCACGCTGGGAACCGCCTACATTGACGAGAACGGCAAATATCCTTTATCAACCCTTTTCATCAGTAGGTACATGTATATAGATAATATAGGACTAATCGTGCCCAATTACGCAGCCATGTATATTTTCGAAATATGTTAAAGATCACATATACTCTAGGGGGGTACAAATACATAAATCACTAACTGGCATCGCTATAAATGATACCCCGTCATTAAAACTACTCACTTCGATCTTTAATCAACTTAAATCGACCTTTTTGACAACAGTGCACAATTCTCACCCGCGAACGAAATTTCAACCAATCAGAGCGGGGCGTCTCTGTGACGTCATATGAGGAATAGAGATGAGGGCCGATGCAGAATTCATCTACATTTCAGGGGGTAAATTATCTTGTTTACAGGTTTGTATAAACCTGAAATCGTGAAAACTGTTGTGGAAAATGAAAGCTATATGTTCTCACAATCTTCTGTCATATAATTTTGTCTCCTGCTTTGCCTAGTTTCCGAGTTACAACTTGTTTTCATAGACGATTCTGTCAAAATCGCTTGGTGTCGTTAGGCCTTATTTGTATAATGACTGATCCAAATTGATCCCATTTCTGTGTTTTTTTACCTCGATATTTAATCATGTCATGTAAAAATATGACGTCTATTACGCGTGATATTAAAAATTGACATTTGATTTATTTTAATCGGTAAACTAAACAACCCTATTTTGCCATTGCTAGAAGAATCTGAAATTTTACTTAGGTAAATAGGTACATACAGTTTTAGCGCACAGCAAATGCTTATATGTATTTCTTATGCAACAATGAAGTTCTGTTTGTATTCTCAAAACAGTTTCGGCCCATACGTTTTCACATGCAATTAAAATTGCATGCAATACAGCAATTAATTCTCCCTCGTTGTAACCCGTGTTAGGTGGTATAAACCTACACATGTTATTTGTCATCATTCACTTGATGGTCAGTTAATGAATTTATAACAGGTATAATTAGTGGTAACACCACTTAGATTACCCGACAAAGGTTCCCATTTGGCATTTCTTGTGTCTGGAGTAAATATTCAACATTATAAACATCGATCAAAGGATTAACCGATAACACGCTGATTGATTGATTACTTTTATTGTCAAAAGGTAGTGTTTATGTATGTAGATTTATTAATCTATACTGAATACACTCTGTCGTGTCGGTGTCTGCGTAAAAACAACGTCCTTCCTTCAAAGGATTAACCGCCAATACAGTGATTGATTGCTCATTATTGGCTAACTAAATTACCGTTTTTAAAGAATGGTGGACATTATGCAATCAGTTGCCAGGTGTGCTATCTTGGGTGACCAATGAGACTATACACCAATGTGACATACCTGAAACTATATATCACTTTTTCGTATACTAGACTGTTAAAAGACACATCACTTGGAACAGCTGCAGATGAATGGCATATCACTCGGGTTTTTTTTATATTGATGGATACATTCCTGGAACAAGGTAATAGCCTGACATTGTTCCTATAAATTTATTCTGTTTTAATTTTAATATTTGCATTTTGTTTTTATTCATTTGTCGTAGCATTCAACAGAATTGTTGTTTTCGCCATGAAGTGTAATGAGACATACTAGGGCGGGTGTGCGAATTATGATTCACATTGGCAAACTATAAAATGTCCAGATATTACAGTCCTGTTATAAATGCACTATAAGTATCAGCAGATCGTCTGCTTTTTATTTAGTTTCAAAATGGATGCAAGTATGATAATAAACTAATTAGGATTATAAGACCAAATATAAAGACGTACATTGACTAGTATATACATACTGGTGAGTGGACGTTAACCACGTGAATGTAGCAAGAAAGTTATCGCGCAGTATTGTCACTTCGACCCCCACCTCGCTTCCGTGGAAGAAATCGTTATGTTATAAGTTGTGTCATGCAAAATGCTTTTGGTTATGATTCAAATACATATTTAACTACGAGTAGAAAGTAGTTTTGATTTTCTAACTTGATGAAAACAAACCATAATCTCATTAATTCTAACAGACTTTAGCCCGTGACTTCACGATTTTCAAAAATGGCGGCGCCCTGTCGAGAACATCCGCCAGTCTGAGTATAAATGCTATTTAGGTTTGTTTTCACCGAGTTACAAAATCAAAACTACTTTCTACTGGTAGTAAAATATGTATTTGATTGATGGTCAATAGGATTTTGCATGACATAGCGTATAACATAACAATTTCTCTCGTGGAAGCGAGGTGGGTGTCAATATAACACTACTTACAGTATTATTGTTACTTCGAGTTGTGTCATGGAAAATCTTTATGGTCATCAATCATATACATATTTTACTACGACTAGTAAGTAGTTTTGATTCTTTAACTTCCGTGAAGCGATCTGAACACAAGTAAGATATCGTTTCAGGCTTCCACAACGCTCGCGTCGCACTCACAAACATAACCCATTTTGCACGAACTGCGGGGTCCTGTGGAAATCTGTGCATGGCGACACCATCGCCCGACCTCTAGGAGCAATTGACGACAACGCAACGATTTGGCATGTCTTCGTTGAAGTCGAGAAATCATCAAAATGACGAGCTTGCTACACACTTTCTATACAACTAACTCAAAATCCTTCCTCATATGACGTCACTGCAGTGCTCTGAAGACAGAGTTACGTAACCTGTCTGTGGTTTCGTTGGCGGGCGAGAGTGAAGCAGGCGACTTTTTGGCAACTTTTAATCGCTCGGTACTAATTAACCACAAGTTTTTAAAGAAGGAATTTGGTGTTCCCCATAAGACTGACCACAAATCTTTCATATGTAATAGTTAAAATAGTATAAAAACAAAGTTTATTTGTTCTTTAAAATTTAAGGTCTCTTTTTTGGTAAATCAAAATTTACTGGCTGCCCTTTCCCAGACATTTTGTATGTGTATCTTAATGCATTGACCAAAGAATTGTACTCTCTCTCCTAATTCTAAATGCTTTTGTTTCTAAAGTTTTATGAGACTGCTGATTATGTAACTAAAAATAATAGGACAGAATGTAATTTAAATACTTGAAGATGTTCAATTATTTATTTATTTATTCTTTAAAGGTGTATCACCAGATACAATGAGCAGAACAAAATGAATTTTTAGACGCCCTTCTGTGCTTATGGGAGGGAAATCTACTTTAGACGTCGCTTCCCGTGACATGGTTGAAGTCGTGTAAGAGGAGGCACCAAACTGATGTCGTCAAATCCCGGGTTTCATTCCTAAATTTAGCAAGATTATGCCCAAAGTGGAGGACTTGAAAAATGCTAAAGAAGGTGCTTAAGTTGTCACTTCTGGAACTCACCGATATAGCTGGGAAATGCTTAAAACAGGTTTACCATACAACCATACAACCTCACGCACTCATTGCATCTGTGACCCTGTATGTATTCAGCCGTGACGTATGCAGCCGCGGAGATTGGTGGCTCGGTCAGCGCCGTCCTCAGCGGCTACATCATGGATAACGTCTACGTGGACTTCGACAAGGTCGACCCTACTCAGTAAGGTTCTCTGAATACAAAGTAGAGTCGAATGTCGTTATTTCGTGGGGAAGGGAATTACCTTCGTCATGCCAACCAGACCCCCTACATAGTGCGTGGGGCAATATAATCTGAAAGATATGTATTGAGTATTACGCTTTCCGACATCTGATGATGAAACTATGCTTCAGTTACAGAAGAAAAACCTGAATTTACTAATATACATTTTGCTCAATACATGTAATTGCAAACATTTGTTAATTAACGTTATGTTTCGATAATGTCTTCGCAATAAAGATTCTCAAGATTTTGTTTATTTTTATCTAATAGAATTCCAGATCCCAAAAGCCCCAACTGGATCGGTGCTTGGTGGCTGAATTTCACGTACGCGTCTGGGCTCTTTCTTTTGACATCCGTGCCATTATATGGTTACCCAAAACGATTGCCTGGTGAGCATAATAAAAGAAAAATAGCTGTTTATTTACTCCCAACAGTATGAAAAGAATTTCACAGTAAAATTCTATCCATATTGTTGGGAGTAACTGTAAAATGTTAGGATATTTTACTAAGCGAATGTTTTGTTAAGCTACAGCATCAAACGTACGTTGAGTAAATGAACTATCAACACGGGATTCTCGCTCTATACAATCATATGCCATTGTAGCTAGAGTGCAGTGACGCTATTTTAGTTTTCATGCAGCTTGCACACCTAGGAATGCTACATGTTGCATGTCTGTGGAAAACTTGAAAAACACATTACTTTTTGTCGAAATAACGATAGGCCAGTGAATGCATGTAATCCAAGAGTGAAATCGAATCTTTTTCAATACATTGTCGTAACTGGCGTTTTGGTGTTAGTAAACCCTACCCCAGTTACCTGTTAATTATGGTCGTTCCACATTGTTCGGGGAGATGGTAGCTCTGGCGCTCCACTCGCTTGGTCCGTTGCAGGATGCTAAGTCGGGGAGAGTGGGGTCGGACGACCGTGACTCCCAACTAGCCACATAACATTCATGTACTGGCACACATACATTCATAGATAAACGCAACACCAAGTTTATACTCACATAGATTTTACTCTGTCTCAGTCCATCTCTAACTACAACTTCATCAACAGACAGGATAGGCTCGTACCACACAGGCAACTGAGTGACGTGGACTGGCTTCGGTCACTTAAAAGCGCGCACTACTCGCTCAGTGCCAAACCTATCTTTTCATATGGTTCGATCCTGGCCTGATCCTGATCACCTGTTTCAACCCATCGTTTTGTTTTGTTAATCCTATATCCGTCCCAGTTCTCATGAATATTATGATTGGAAAATTATCGGTAAATACAGTTCGGTAACTCCCCCAATATTCATTGATTTATTATTGGGTTCTGTCTCAAGCAATGTATATATTTCTAACTTGCGACTAACGCCATTCTCTTTAGACTTTCTGTCTCCCAACAATGTCTGGGCGTTATCCACCATGAGTCAAAATGTAACTCTATATACGGAGTCTGATGTAATTCTCTTACTGATTTAGGGATGCATTTTTTACCTTATAACAATATTATAATGTCATATGTCAGGTAACCAAGGCAACCAAGGCCCTGAAAAGGACAAGGTAGTTGTGAGCGGGAAAACGATCGGAGATATGACCAAGAACTTGGTTCGAGATTTCGTCCATGCAGCCCGGCGACTCGTACGTACTGCCGTTATCTATACTAACGTCCAAAAGAAACTTGGCAGCCGTTTTGAAGCTCGATAGCGAAAAGACAACAAAAGATAAATGATCAACATAACGGTATTGTAAACAGTATATGTGCTAAAGCTTTGTGCAAACAGTCATAACAATACAATGAACAATGAAATAGATATGGCTTGTAGTGTCCATGTCAACACATGTTCAAATGGTCAGCTCGGCAAACACTCTCCTACTCAGTGAATTCGCCAGGCGCCTGATAACGTCGCTTTGGATGTGTCGCCATTCTTTATGGAGGGCCGCAATGAGTTCATCCCGGGTGTTGGGAGGTTGTCCCCGTCCAATATGGCTGTCCATGATTTCCCAAAGGTGCTCTATGGGATTAAGGTCTGGAGAGCGAGCTGGACAGGGTAACACGTGAACGTTGTTGACGTTAGGGAAGTTTTGAACGACGTTAACAGTTTGAGGCCAGGGTGCACGGGGGCTCGAATCTCAGAATCCCCTAAACGAAAGGTCTGTCAGTACAACACCCTTCTTCACGGGTATCAGGAAATATATTAACTGGTACGACATGTGTCTCTTTCGTACACGGCCTATTGTATATTGACAAATCGAGAAATTACTCAATGTATTGTTCAAAGCGCGGTGAAATCCATCTCCCGTTCTTAAACATGTTCAGTTCTGCAACCTGGAATTCGTCCTTCTGAGCGTGGCCTCGGCCGTCTCCACTTGTGCGGCTATAGGAATCGGGGTGTTCTCCTACAAATACCTCACTATGCAGTACGACGTCAGCTTCCAAGTCGCCGGGTACATAACAGGTACGCTATATAAAGGTACATCCAGACAGACCAGGCAGTTGAACCCGTGAGTCTGCATAATCCGTACCGACGATAACAATAGAAGGTTTGCTCGGTCATCTGTGTTCCCTTGCTGTGAACCGACCGCACCAGCTAGTAACTGTAACCGGAGATCAGTTCCACACTGAAGTTCTTACATCGGGACATAATATTGACAGTGTAAATTATCGTGAAACGATTGTCCTAGGGAAAGGTATATAGTAAAAATAAGAATAATTCTAGAAGAACACTAAATTTTGTTGACACTACACACCGATAAAGAAGTTTACTTTTTGATCCATGACTTGGACAGTTTGGAAGTGCGAGTGCCAAGTGGCACGAATACACTAGCTGGAACTCCAGTTGCACCGCCTCACCCTCAAAGAAGTCTTCGGTCCATTACTTACACAAGGATTTTCCCAGTGATTGTGGAAATGTTTTTTCGTTTTTGTTAAGTGTGTTTAGCTGAAGTTAAAGTGAAAATATGTAAGATTTAGTACTTCAACAAAAGACTTAACCTGTATTTTATTTGATATCTTCACAGCCCGACAGGCACGATATTGTTTCAGTGTTGAAATTCTGTTGATCTGTGGTTTTGTCTTTCCAATATTTGAAGATATAAATTGGTCAACTAATATCCACCCATTAACCAATAATTCAAAGTTTTTCAACTTTGATATTTGAGACTGGTTCAATGTAAACATTTCAACATCATTTCCACTTTCATATTTAGCATTGAAGCATGAAATTGATTCATAACTGATTCAACATTGTAATGGGTGATGGGAGCTGGGTCTATCATTCATTTCTGATTTCCCATTGTTATCATTCCATCAACCAGGTACCAAGTCAGCTTTAGGAGGGCTAGGTTACCTTGCTGGCAGTGCCGTCATCCGGAGATTCAACTTGCATGCCCTCGGTATTGAACGTATTAGCTTTGGGCTGTCCCTGGCCTCCGCCATTATGAGCATGGGACTGTTGGCCAGATGTCCGAATGTCCAGCTTGCCGGAGTTGAAGTCCCTTACATGGGAGACAAGTAGGTCTTATGATGATGATGATGATGATGATGATGATGATGATGATGATGATGATGATAAGATTTGATTAGCACTTTCTGTGAACCCATTTCATGGGACCAAAAGCCGGATTTTTCAACATTGAAATACATGCTACAGACGGATTTGCGAATGATTCCTGGTATTTGCTATTATGTCATATTGGTTCATAGTCTCTTAGATGCTCTTTCATTTCATGACCCGGGTCAGAAACGCAAATTTGGCTGCCATGTGATTCGTTAGTCAAACGGGTCTCAGATGATACGTATGTAGTTGGGCTTCGTTTATATTTATCTGTAAAGTTCCGTCTCACCTTGAGAAATATCGAGAGTTTAACGATCAGTGTTTATTTTTAGTGCAACAAACGGTCTTTTAGCGGAGTGCCAACGTTCTTGCCAATGTCAAGGTCAACCTTTCGATCCCGTTTGTGGAGCAGACGACATCGTGTACTACTCTCCGTGCCATGCCGGTTGTGAAGATATGATGTTCAATGGATCAGACCGGGTAATGGAACGAGTTACGTATCAGTTGTGTGTCCAGGTGGCGCTGGAAGACAACGTGCTGGAGTTGGGCCCCTTTTACCAGAAACCGTTGATAGCGAGTTTGCCACCGGCATTGCGAAGTGTTTGTTAAGCGTTCTAGCTGCAATTGGCTATTCTGACAGGATCCTGTGTCGAAGGTTTGATATTTGAATTCATATGACATCACGAGGCGGCGTTGTCACGAGTTTAGGAACACTACGGGATTGGTGTCCGTCGTGATTGTTCTGATGATAATATCACTATAACTGATGTATGGTGTGTTTGATGTGATAGCGCTATGAGGTACCTGATTCAAACATTCTAATGCCTCGCGATCTGTCAATCTCAGTCAGAAGTGGCAGGCTGAAATATCATTCAAACGATCAAAGTTATTCCTAAGAATTGTACTACTGGAAAATTCAACTTTCGTTTTATCAATGACGTATTGTATCATAATTCAATTGAAATGAAAGTTAAATTCAACAGACATTATATACTCATGCTAATAATGGTTGTCACCCCCTTCAATTGTTTTCATTGGAGAGGGTGGGCTGGGGTTTGAGGTGTGTGTGTGGTTGGGCTGGGGGACAACCATTATTGGCATGAGTATATTTGGGATTGCACTTTCACAGTAAATTATCGATTCTAGTACTTTTGTTGAGTTGAGTATTATCCGGGATTCGAACCCACACTCTCAGAGTCAGGCACCTAATCGCCACCACACAAAGTCAGCCATCTAACCCACTCAGCCTTCGCAATATGATGCATGTGACCACTTTCAAAACGGCATTGGGTATTGAAAGTTAAATTGAAAAACTTGGGATATGTTGTAAATGGCGGGCTTATAAGGTACTCTTAGTAATGTAAAATTAAAATATAAATCAAAATTTTATGTAAGATTTGTACCGCTGATCGTTTTAAAGGGGGAGACTGTAAGGAACAAGAGACTTTTCTGATAAGTTTATAATCAAAGCTTCACTGTTGATGCTTCAGTCATTCATAAACTGCAGCTGCATTCAACATGGCCCTGAGTCCAGCTCTGACCTTGACCTCACCGCCAGATCCGGACTGTGTGTACCGGGCTGCTATGGCGTCTACATATCCACGACCTTCACCTTCCTTATGACGTTCTTCATGGTGATCAGTATCTCGAACGAGTCAATAGCCACCCTAAGGTAACTCTCTCGATAAAACTCCACATGACTAATGAAAATAAACAATTAACAACACACATGAGACGTTTTCGGGCATGTTTTCATATTTTGAGAAAAAGGTACGAATTGATTGTACATGAGTTAACTCAACGTCAGATCAGGACGTCTTTCGGAATACTGCGTTTTGGCACTAGAAGGTGGGATTTACACATCGAGCTGCCACGTTACGCGTTTCTATAATTGTTTAATTACTTTTAAAATATGGTGTCCTTAGAGGGTAATGAACGTACAAAATATTGCGGGACATTTTGGATAGCTGGTGTTTGTTACTCATATTTAGGACACTCCGTCCTAGGACTTGCCGAAACGTCCTATCTGTGAAGTCCATTTCTGGTGTCCCCCGCCCTGATATTGCTGGAATATTGCTAAAAGCGGCGTAAAACTAAAGTCACTCACTCACTAAATATCCTATCAAAGATTTTCACTTCTTCATATTAGTAAAGAACGAAGTTTAATAAGGGCTATTTGTGGCAATTGGAAATGGCAAATTATCGAGCTACGGAAAGCTTTTTCTCAAAACATGTAAGTAAGATGTGTTCATATGGCGAACTACTAGCCTTACTAGCGTTAAAACAATGAAGAACAGAGCAAGCTGAGGTCAAGAAGTACGTCCGTCACCAAGGATGCAATGTTTCACTCTGGGTTTCATTTCAATCCTTCTAATACATATTACCACAGACCACTAAGCATGCCAATAACACAGACCACTAGCCCAGACCACTAACACATACAACTGATGCCCTACGCTAACCCAGACCACTAACATAGATCACTAGCCCAGACCGCTAACACAGGCCATCAACACATGCCACTGGCCCAGACCACTAGCTCAGGCCATCAACACATGCCACTGGCCCAGACCACTAACATAGATCACTAGCCCAGACCGCTAACACAGGCCATCAACACATGCCACTGGCCCAGACCACTAGCACAGGCCATCAACACATGCCACTGGCCCAGACCACTAACGCATGCCAATATAACCCAGGTTAGTGGTCTGTGTTATAGGCATGCTTAGTGGTCTAAAACACCGTATAACTAAATACTATGCTCCTGCTAGGTTCACAAATACTTAGTTTTGGGTAGCTTTGCACATGGTTTTGTAAGACGTGAAAAACACACTGATGAAATGGATGAAACCTTCTTGTGTCATTTTACATACACATGTATATGTATGTTGTCTGTTAGATACATTAGGCCGACATATTGATCCTCGTCATTGCTTGCATTATTAGGTAGATATTAGATGGTATCATATATATGTAGCCTCAAGCAGATATGTTTGGTTGTTACTTCAGGTGTGTGGATCAGGATCTACGTCCGTTTGCGCTTGGGGTACAGTGGGTGATCATGCGTCTTCTTGGTATGTTCTTATCAGCTGATCGTCCTGGCTTTGTTGCGTTATCAATGACACATTGGTATATCACCATCTGGAACGGCCTTAATGCCCACCTGCGGCAACAAGCTGAATACATACTTTGTATCAACGAATTGAAGTGTTGTGTAAATGTGTGGGGAATATCTGTAGCTGAGAGGTTGACAACCGCAATATAATAATTCTGTTACAAATAATGCTGAAAACATTTACTGTAAAACTGGAAGTTGATACGAGCATGATATTAATGCGAAATGTCCCTTGCTTGCATAGATTTTGTGAGACGTTTTTGTTCTGGATTATTGTCAAATTACCTGTAGGTGCGTGTACCAGAAATGACCACTGAAGGTAGATAAAGAAATGTCATTGGTCTATAGGTGTCACAATGATACGAACCACACGAGAAAGCACCCAATACACAATGTACTTTTGAGGTAGATTGGTGTCTGTCATAAACTGAGCGCATGGTAATGGTTCCAAGAATGATGTATTTGAAATGGTTTCAGGGCACGGTGAAATGGTAAAAGGATGGAGATACACAATGTATAAAGGTCATTTGAAAGACATGAGGCTACTAGCTATCAGTAGCTGATCGTAGCACAAACACACCATTTAAACTAGATTTGAATGTTCCAAAATGCGAGGTATCGGTGTATGGCTCTCGGTCTGGAGTGACTTCATCGAGTCCGTAACTTGGGTTCAATACTGGTGCGGAAATACCAGAAGCACGCGCATACTGGTAGTGGCTGTTATGTCTTTGCCCCAGGGCATCTAGCCTACTCTCCGCTGGCTTTGAATGCGACGTTACCATTTTGACTTGGGATCAATACTTATATTTCCAAAGTCACCCGACGAGGATAAGTCTTAAATATGTACATGAGTAGTTTAAGGGAAGTGACATGGCTGTACAGCTGTATAGACTGGCTAACAGTACGTGTGGAATGTTGATTAACACTAATATTATTAGTACTGATAATCGAGTCTTTCTAGTCAATATACACATCATGTCAACATGGTCATCAGCCATTGGAATTAACTCTTCATTCAGACAAACTTGCACTTGATTGTTGTTATTTTGCCTTCTAATCGACAGGTAACATCCCTTCTCCTGTGTTCATCGGCGCCATCTTGGACGCTATCTGCCTTGTGTGGAGTGACCCTGTGCCAGGGGCGGGAACTCGTTACTGCCAGATGTATGACAGGGAGAGGCTAGCATACGGATTCTGCTTCACGTGGCTGTGTGCCAACCTCTTGAGCGCATTTTTGTTCTTAATGGCATCCGTTGTTAACGTGCGAAGGAACAAAACAAAGGAAATGAGCGTTAAAAGGGAGACTGGCGCACAGAAAGACGAAGACCCCAGAATATAAGAAGAATTTTGTCATCATAATGTGCATGAACAATATTTTATGAATCGTTTTGTAACACAAGGACAAACATTTGAAGGCCTGAAGATGTGAAATGTGGTTTGAATATTAGTATACACGCAGGTGGTTAATATATACTTAAAAAATGGACTAGAAGCAGTTATTGTTTCCAAAATATATTTTTCAAATGATATAAGAGGCTGGTTCTATTTTGTCGTCTTGGAACCTGTAGATTCAATTAATAAAGGCTCTAGAAACATGTCTCCAATTCTCATTTATATCTGGAGTTGGCTTCAGCGTCAGGTGATATGATGTAAAGGGACGAGATGTGTCATACCCCCGGAGTAATTTCCCTGTTCTGTGTTTCCATACAGCAAAAGTCAAACTTTTCGTAGCATGCAGGGTTCTTTTTGTATTCCTTACACAGAAGTGGACATTTGTATCTTGCCGCTACCCTGCATAATGTGTCTTTTCATACTTTCATATACGTTCCTTTTTACGCCATTTTTTGCAGTTGTAAGTCCTACTGCATGGGTTAGATCTCCAACATGGTTACGCACTCCTCGTTGTCCTAACATCAATACTGCTGCATTGTTTGTACACATACTTCAGACAGCTATGCTGTCAAACAGAGCCATAGTACGTAGATATCACACATCCTGCATGGACATCAGAAGTTGTGCCTGGACATCAGACATCTTGGACGTCAGTGTCGAACATGGAGACCAGTATCGTACATGGACATCCACCTTTAGAATGCAGCACCGCAATTTCCCGTTAGGGCAATCTATGTTGTAAGTCACCAGTTAGGGGGTTATTTTTCGCGAATTCGCGACCCCTCGATTTTTAACCCGATAGCTAATCGATTGAGTTTCATCCACACTGTCAATCAAATCACCCAACCACGGGTGTGGCATGGGAGAGGTTCTGACATATCCTGATACAGAAGGAACACGATCAGGACGACCCGCCAAAATTCTGCCACGCCTGTACGGCTCAACCCTGAAGAACGAATTCGGCGCCATAGACATATGGGTTGTGTCTGCCCGTTGGTTCTGTTTTGAAACAGAAGGTTTTCTCCAAAGTTTTCAATATTGGACATCAGACGTCTTTTAAGGGCAAGTATTCACAAAAGTTGGTGTCTGGCAGTTTTTCAACATTAAAATATGTATCTAGTAGTTTTATGGCCAAAACAGTACAGATGTCACAAGTAACAATTCATGTTTTGCATTATATCGATTCATATTTTGCACATTTACAGAGAGTTCTATTACCAAAATAAACACACTGTGGCTAATGTTCCTTATATATGACGTCACTGCTGCCAAATGATAAACGAATGATGCCATTAGACCCATTTCAAGTGGTGCAATGTTTGTGCTGTTGATCACTAGATTGTCTGGTCCAGAGTCCAGATTATCTACAGACCGCTGTCATATGGCTAGAATATTGCTAAATGCTGCCTTAAACAACAAACAATCCTTATCACTTCCGCATTGTACATTGACTTGTCAGGCAATTAATTACTGTATATGACATTTATAACCTTTATTGGTCATCCCCCTTGGCCGTGTCTGCCATCACATCAACTGGTCAAGGAAGTGCTATTGTTTTTCTATCTGTCAATTGTTGAGTCATCGCCTGTCCATTGTTGACAAAAACTGTATATATACTTAGTATGCTCACATCTGTACGGTGGTAAAGTACGATTCCGGTATTCCGACTGTCTGTAGGGACGACCACGAGCAGGAGAATGCCGCTCGTTGGAAACGCCCTGGGGTTGAGCAGGTAATCCGCTCACCTCATTTATGTCTTGTATATTTGTTTGTCATGTAACTAAAGAAGTTTGAACTCAACGTATTCCTTCGTCTTGTCAACGTATTGTACGTGAACTTCGTCATAATCATGAGCTAATTCCCAAGTTGACGCATATCCAAGCGTTGACAGTACTATGCGCTACACTGCTATAGCACCAAACGAATAATACAGAGCCTAAGTTTCATTAGACTGCCATACAGCTGAATATTGCTGAGTGCGGCGTAAAACTAAACTCACTGACTCACTCAATGATTTGGGACATTCAACACAATTTATTACAGTTTCCGTCGAGCGTGACTCCATGACTTATGACTGAAAGGGTCGCCGTCGGCACGGGTACAACAGATATGTGCCCCACCCTAGGAAGAGTCCATTCCGCACTGCACCGTTTTCTTGATAGGAACAGCTATACTGAATGGGATTCATTCGTGTGCGTTATACAAGAAACCAGCATATATAATGACGAATATTTCGCGTGTCACAGTATTACTAGAAATTAGGGGAAGTACAGCATAACCGGACTCGATTTTGAGTCGTTTAGGGTATCAGGTTAGTTTATGCATATGGACTTATTTTCTATTCTCATTACTTACATGTACCATGTATGCTGATACAATCCCTGAAGCCACACATGTCTCCTTTCTAATATTCCGCGTTCTTGTCGATGGACACCTCATTCTCTAGAAGTCCCTTACCGTAACATATTTATTGTTTTAGATATTTGGTATTTTATTGAGATGAAATTTGTGAATAAATACGCACATGGTCAATGTATCGTACTGTTTACAGTTTCATTTATAATGCATCTTTCGTACTTTTCTTCAACACATTTCGTCACACGAATAATTTCACTGTTTATATCGGTTGATTTGGACAAGACGGGGGACCACTCTAAATCAAATAGCACCACATTACTTTCATTAACCAAAGCGGTTACTCGATCTGGCCTGTTTAGTTTGGAAAACAAAGGCCTAATTGTTGTTGTTGTTGTTGTTTGTTGTTGTTGTTGTTGTTGTTGTTGTTGTTGTTGTTGTTGTTGTTGTTGTTGTTGTTGTTGTTGTTGTGTTGTTGTTGTTGTTGTTGTTGTTTGTTGTAAATGTTGTTGTTGTTGTTGTTGTTGTTCAATCTGGGATTGCTTGTAAGTTGTTAATGAAATTGTATCAATCTGGGATTGCTTGTAAGTTCAATGAAAGTTCAAACGCATATAGGATTCAACAAAAGTGATCTACTTACGAGTTCCCTCTCCTTATGGTACATATAGACATTCAAATCTACAAAATTATAAATGCTGTATTTTTTAACAAAATATGAAAGGGTTATAAAGGTGTCCTGGGAAATGGTACGTGTCTGGAGCCCGTTTTTTAGTTTAGAACGGGACATTGTATTAGGTGTGCAGTGAGTGAAAGAGATATTGTATCTGGTTAGTCAAGAGCTTCACTGGCTTTCATTCTTCAAAATATTGTAATATTTGTAGCTGAAAACAAAAGTTGTCTTTTATTATCTGGAATCATATGCCTTTTCATCTATGCAATCAAACTAATAAGTAATATGATCATGTCTGTTGTAAACGTTGCCGATTTTCACCTGGGTATTTCCATTCTCATATTAACAAAACATAATTTGTATTTTGGTTTTGCCTTGCTGATACGAGGCTCGAACCACGGAACGCTCGGAAACAAGGATTAAGAGAAGTACCTGTTCGAAACGGTTAGTGTCGAAATTACGTCCCTTGAAAATACAAGGGAGGTAACTCTAAAGTAGGTGCCCGACTACAGAAATGGGTTGGTTCGGGGATGTCTTCCCGACAAAACAAAGTTTTGTAGTGTTTATATCATATATGGCACTTTTTATTAACCAAGGTGAGTAATTTGCTTCATCTTACCCGTTTTCATATGCTGTAGTTGTTGACATATAAAAGTGGAACTTGTGGCGCGTAAAGGCAGCCCTTGAAGAGTGGAAACCCGGAAAGTGTAGGCTAACACTAGCAACAGTAGTAACAGTCAGAGACCAGCCCTAATGTAGTCGTTTGTCATCCTCATGTAGATCCGTTTACATGCTGTTGTTATGAAAGCGCTTTACAAATAGGTTCTATACCGCACGTGCTTTCGTTTTGGGGGATCATATAATGGACGTGTTGTCATTTATGGATACACCTGAAATTTCTTATGTAGTTTGATTGAATCTACTCGGATGACAGGACAAATAGGTGTTTCCTCACAATTTAAATGTAACAGTTATCGTCATTTCAGAATTCCTCACGTCATTCGTGAAATATTATATATTTATATCATAATAAACGTCAAATAATTGGTTGTGTCCACAGTAGCTTGATAGGGAATGAAACAATTAATGACTTTTGTGAACTAGATCTTGATATTATATCCTGGAGTAATGTAAATTCGCGGACATCTGTTTTCGTGCACCTATCATTTCCGGGTTTACGCGGTTGCTACATACAAAGTTGTGATGTCAGATTTCTTGTTTGTAAACAAGAAGTCATCATCGTTTTGCTGCTGTCACGATTTGGAAATCACAAGCTTCAAAGGAGAGTTTTTTATCCAAAATTTTCTAGCAAACGTATTTTTATGCTTCTGAACTAATGCAAAAACATCAAGACGAAAATGAGCCCTAAAAAATAGTTTGAATTCATGACAGCCCCAATCTACCGGTCGTCTGCATTGGTGAATGGTAACGCTGAAAGGTCATGTCCCCAGAAGGTGGGGTGTTGCCTGGGTAAAAATAATTATGGAAGCCCATTTCAGACACAATTCTTATAACTTTACATCACATTTTCATGAAAAGTTACTAAGTAAAAGCAATTGTTTATAATTTAGGAACCAACCTAACATTGATTCACTTATTAAATCTATTACTTTTCACAATGTCTGAAAATACTTATTATATTTCAAATGAACATATATTATCGACAGAATTAGAATTATAAACTATTTTTCACAATGTTATTGAAAACAAAAACAAAACGATTCGGCAACGGGTCCACATAAAAGTTGTCAAAGAGCAAAGTAACGATGTTTCGAGAATAAAATCAAGAACAGTACTCATAAAAGTTGTCAAACGCACAGCATAAGTTACTATTTGCCTTCTAGTTGATTGCGATCATGAAATGTAAGCCAAATAACATTTCGGCTTTTGTTAAGTAAGTTTCTTATCTTGTTAACAAATATCAGTAAAAAATAATTTTATAATCCCAGAACTATTAATGAAAATCGATAATCGCAAATAAACTATTTGACTCCATTCGTAACTAATCGCTTCTTTCCGTGACCAAAGCTCTTCGGCTTGTCCGGAATAATATGAATTGGTCACGAATGTATTTGACTCATTTCACATTTTACTACACGTGGGGGCGGTGGGGTAGCCTAGTGGTTAAAGCGTTGGCTCGTCACGCCGAAGGCCCGGGTTCGATTCCCCACATGGGCACAATGTGTTAAGCCCATTTCTGGTGTCCCCCGCCGTGATATTGCTGGAATATTGCTAAAAGCGGCGTTAAACTAAACTCAGTCAGTCAGTCAGTCATGCCGAGGACCCGGGTTCGAATCCCCACATGGGCACATTGTGTGAAGCCCATTTCTGGTGTCCCCCGCCGTGATATTGCTGGAATATTGCTAAAAGCAGCGTAAAACCATACTCACTCACTCACTACTACACACGATTTTATTTGATTGCCACGATTTTTGACAATAATGGCATACTATTCAGGTACGAGTCTTCTTGTAGGTCATGGAAAGAGGCGAGTAGTTACAAATGTTATAGCAGATTGTGGCGAAAAAGCGTCATTAGAAACCAATGTTTAACCAATAAATTTGCTTCTTACAACTGCGAAATAACTCCTGTTACTCTGTGTTATTCATAAAAACCTTAGAAAATGGAGGTATTTCCCCCTGTTGTGTCATGTTACTGAGTGGAAAGCCAGTTATGGGGAAATAACCATCCATACATATTATTTCAGATACCTTTTTATAATTATTTTCGGAAAAATGAAAATATAGAAGAAAAAAGGTAAGGGGATATTATATCAAAAGACGTTAAAATATGGTACTTGTTGGTCCCTGCCTGGCGCTCAGCATCAATTGGTACAACAAGGACTGGTCAGCTCGGAGTCAGTATAATGTGTCTGAGTGGGGTATTCATGCTTCACTGCGGCTTGGTATCTCATTGGGCTAGCACTATAAAACCAGCTTCAATCTAGGCTAGTACAAGCAGCCGCACCTACACATACACACGCATGCACATCGATAATGAGCGAAATATTCTCCAGAGCGACGTTAAACCCAATAGACCGATCCAGTCTGTCAATCAAAACTGGCGCATGCGTCAATTTTGGCCAATCGGCAGGCCGGGCGCGCTGTGTGGATTTGTCAGACGTATTTCCGGGGTCAAACGATGCATCCGAAGCGATGTGCTTCAAATTATGCCATTTACACTCGCTATATTTATTACATATTGCTGCAATTTGATGTGTACCTTAACAAAACCATTACTGTCAAGACAACAAAAATGACGGCGGATCAAGAAACGCGATAGGCCTAACGATCAGTTAAATGTCTGCACCATCGTTCAGGAAACCTACGTCTGCCTGCTGATGAGAATTTGCACGAATTTGCACATGTGCAAAATCATTACCAATTGATGACAACAAATAGCAGTTTAAGACTTTGCAAGTGTTATAAACACGGACAATTCTTGTAACTGCAAAATTGTTTTTGCTTAACGTTTTTAGTCACTACTAGGCATTGAGTTGGTACGCCACAAAGCTCAAAAGAGACAGGCGAGAAAGCCGTGACACAATGTAAACAAATCTTCATTTCGGTTAGGGTCAACCGAAATAGCAAAACATGTTACATGAAAGAACAATGTGGCGGATATTGTCCCCTTCGCTCTCAGATATTCTTCAATTTGTCACACATTTTAGGATGTTTTAAGTTTCATAAGCACAATCTGAAGACCTACAGTATCTTGTTAACAGAGCAAAATATTCGAGGAGTAATATTTTCTATTCAAACGGAAATATTGTCAGTGTCAGCAGTTGCCTATCATGCAATATCCAAGTATCAAAATTAGTTCATATGAGTGCCTATAAAACCATGCTTTAAATATTTCAGATTTTTTATAAAGAATTGCATGGGACTTTGAACTGAATTACCTTCCTCCAAGGTTGATCAAATACGAAAACTATGTGAGAAGAATACTTTCTGGAGTATTGGACCGAGTGAAATAAAGTGTATATCTTAATTATGAGAACATTATTTGAAGTTTTGTTACCACATAAATTATTCACATATAATGGTACATTTTAGGAGTAATATTACAACTGTAATTTTGATTAATTCACTGGAAATGATATCAAGGTATGTTTTCAGAATCTTGCCTTTTTTAGTGAACGTCGAAGGGTAATAAAATTAATAATAATCTAATCAATAATAAATAATTATTTAATTGATTGACATATAAGATGTTTTAGATTTTAAGGCAGAACTAGGCAAACAAACACCATACATATCATGGCAGGACAATCACTTGTTATTAACTTAGTTTCTTGGCTCCTGCTTTTAGATGTTTTTTTTAAATACTACATTTACTAATAAGATAATTCTGAAAGTGATTGCTAGTATCATAACTCATTAAAGTTATTTCAACATCCAGAAAATTTGAAAAAGCAAAGGCTACGTTTTTGTCAAACCCTGGTCAGGCATTATCCAGTCCTGGAACAGAATAACTCACAAAAATCTCAGGTGACTTTTCATGTAACGGAATAAAGATTGAAACATATATTTAACCCATATTTGATGTAATTCTTCTGATAAATCATACGTTTTTTAGGAGGTTACTACTATTTGAAGACTGAGCCAAAGCTAGTGTTTATTAAGATGGTGGATTTCGACAAATTGTTCAAGGTTTGTTGATGGTTATTTGCAAAATGGGCTTCATATTAAATTGCACACTGGTTTGTAGGAGGTGAACGCTTCAGGACATTTTCATGTCTGTTTTCCTAAACCTTTGTTATGACTTTTACCAAATTTTGAATCAACTTTACTATAATTTTTATGACACCAGTAAGTATCTCAGAAAAGGAAATAGATCAAAATCAGTGTTATGCCCTCTAGGGATATGGTCTCAGATCTAATAAAACAAAGATTATCATTGTTTAATTAAGAAGCAATAATTGTATTGACAGAAGGCTTTGAACATTGGATATATTCTTTGCACCTTATTTACACTAGTAGTTAGCAGTTAAACATCTCTGATGAAAAAACAATAGATCTACATTTGTATTTTTGTGTAACATTCTATTTCAATGCTAGTTAATTGTTAGAATAACTGTGGATTCTCTGTTCCAAAATTTTGCATCACATGTTTCCTATTTCTGGAAGATGGGTCAGCTAGTGTACAGGTGCAGACTGTATCTTGGATCTTCTTTGTGTTCTGGTGCTGTGACATACTTGTACATAAACGCTGGCAGTTCATGAAGTCCAGTATTGTGGAAGTTTGTATGTAAATTAGGATTCCACAAGAAAGTACATATAGAAAAATTAAATGGAAATGATGATTAAAAAAATGATTTCCTTATATTCAGTGTCATTTTATCATGGTGTACAGATTTTGAAGAGAGAAACTTTACTGAGAGTTGCTGCAGATCAGCTGTTGAATATTTGCTTCTGGGTATGTCCAGATACGTCCATGGAAACATATTGTTTGTAGCCCAATTAACTTCTCCAGATTTCCAAATAAGATCAAATAGGTTATGCTGTGATTGATTTGTTTACATTAATTGTACAGAGAAATAAGGTGCACGGGAAATATTTTCTGCTTTTTATTTACCATTCTCTTAATTCATTAA